AAGAGAAGAAGGAAAATAAAAAGAAAAATATTCTATGTTCTCAGGTGACAAGATTTGAACATAGAAAAGAAAAAGTCTGGGGCTGGGGATGTGACTCAAGCGGTAGCGCGCTCGCCTGGCATGCGTGTTGCCCGGGTTCGGTCCTCAGCACCACATACAAAGAAAGATGTTGTGTCTGCCAAAAACTAAAAAATAAATATTAAAAATTAAAAAAAAAGAAAAAGTCTGAAGGAATACATAAACATGCACATAAACTACTGGAATAAGTAAATGTAGCAAGATGATAGGATATGAGGTAAATTTATAACAAAAAAATTATTTCTACAAACTAATAACATAATTTGAAAAAATAAATACCATTTAAAGTAGCATAAAAACACAAATTTAACAAAATACATGTAAGATCTGTATTTTAAAATGTAGCACATTGTTGAGAGAGAGCAAGAAAACCTAACTAAATGAAGAGATAAATCACAGCCATGAGGTAGAGGAAGAAGAGGAAAGTTTGGTCCAGAAGGACCTGTGTGAGGGAATCATAGGAATCTCTGTGCATGGTAAAGGGAAGAATCACCACTGTTTGAAACATGGGTTTATTTTTTTTTTCCAGGTCTGAGTAAAGAACAAGGTGCATATTAATGGAATACAAGTTTTGGAGAACATCAGTAAAGGAATTTTCAGTTCCTTCCTTGTACAACTTAGCTATTCAACTTAGCATATAATCATTTTCATTTTCCTAATAAAGCTGTTTTTCTTTAAAAAAATCATGGTCATGAATTTTAACATTTAATATTGTTAAGATATCAGATCTATCTAATAAATCTATATTCGATGCAATCACAATCAAAATCCTATCCTTTTTGAGAAAGTCCAAAAACCTGAAATAGGTGATACACTTTTGCAAAAGAATAAATTTGGAGGTTTAGTGCACTTGATTCCAAAGGTTAATATAAAGGTGTGGTAACTGAGGCATTATTGCGCTACTGTGGGAATAGGAATATGGATTTCTAAAATGGAATATAAAATCCAGAAACTGACCCACATGGATGGGTCAATTAATTTTCTACAAAGACATTCAAGTATCTCCATGTAGGAAATTCTTTTCAACAGTGCAACAACTAGATATCCATATGAAATAACTGTGAATCTCAACTCTTATCTCTCATATACAAATATTAATTTGAAATGAGGATAGGTTAAGAATATAAGTTAATATTTTAAAAGAATATGTTAAACCTATACAACTTCTGGAAACAATTATAGGACAAAATTTCTTTTTTTATTTTTTATTTTTATTATTGGTTGTTCAAAGCATTACAAAGCTCTTGACATATATTTCATACATTTGATTCAAGCAGATTATGAACTCCCATTTTTACCCCGTATACATATTGCAGAATCACATCGGTTACACATCCATGTTTTTACATACTGCCATACTAGTGTCTGTTGTATTCTGCTGCCCTTCCTATCCTCTACTATCCCCCCTCCCCTCCCCTGCCCTCCCCTCCCGTCTTCTCTCTCTACCCCATCTACTGTAATTCATTTCTCTCTCTTGTTTTTTTTCCCCCTTTCCCCTCACTTCCTCTTATATGTAATTTTGCATAACAATGAGGGTCTCCTTCCTTTACCATGCAATTTCCCTTCTCTCTCCCTTTCCCTCCCCCCTCTCAACCCTGTTTAATGGTGATCTTCTTCTCATGCTCTTCCTCCCTATTCTGTTCTTAGTTGCTCTCCTTATATCAAAGATGACATTTGGCATTTGTTTTTTAGGGATTGGCTAGCTTCACTTAGCATAATCTGTTCTAGTGCCATCCATTTCCCTGCAAATTCCATGATTTTGTCATTTTTTAGTGCAGAGTAATACTCCATTGTGTATAAATGCCACATTTTTTTTATCCATTCATCTATTGAAGGGCATCTAGGTTGGTTCCACAGTCTAGCTATTGTGAATTGTGCTGCTATGAACATCGATGTAGCAGTATCCCTATAGTACGCTCTTTTAAGGTCTTCAGGGAATAGTCCGAGAAGGGCAATAGCTGGGTCAAATGGTGGCTCCATTCCTAGCTTTCCCAGGAATCTCCATACTGCTTTCCAAATTGGCCGCACCAATTTGCAGTCCCACCAGCAATGTACAAGTGTACCCTTTTCCCCACATCCTTGCCAGCACTTCTTGTTGTTTGACTTCATAATGGCTGCCAATCTTACTGGAGTGAGATGGTATCTTAGGGTGGTTTTGATTTGCATTTCTCTGACTGCTAGAGATGGTGAGCATTTTTTCATGCACTTGTTGATTGATTGTATGATAGGACAAAATTTCTGTGATTTTTATGTAGAAAGATTTTCAAATATAAAAAAGCATGAAAAATGATAAATTAGGCTGCATTAAAAAATTTAAACTTCTCTTTCTTGAAAGATACCCTTAGGAAAATGAAGAAGTAAGGTACAGAAAATATTCATATTACATGTTTTAGTCGGCTTTTTTACTGCTGCAACTGAAAGACCCAACCAGAACAACTGTAGAGGAGGAAAAGTTTATTTGAGGGCTCACAATTTTAGAGGTCTCAGTCCATAGAAGTCCAGCACCATTCAGGGGTGCAGGTGAGGCTGAAAATCATCAGGAAGAGTGTGATGGAGAGAAGCAGCTCATATGATGATCAGAAAGCAGAGAGAGAGATCTTCACTTGCCAGAGACAAATATATACCCCCAAAGCCATGCCCCCAATTCCCACTTCTCCAGCCACACCCTACCAGCCTTCAGTTACCACTCACTTAGTCCTTATCATGGAATTAATTCACTGATTGGGTTAAGACTCTCACAACCTAATCATTTCTCCTCTGAACTTTCTTTCATTGTCTAACACATGAGCTTTTGGGAGACACCTCATATCCAAATCATAACAGCATACATCTAAGAAAAGACTTATTTGGATAATCTGAATAAATTATATAACAAACTCCATAATTCACAGAGGCAAACCCAATTTTTAAAAAGTAAACAAAACACAAAGAGATACTTTACACAAGAAAATACACATTTTTAACAAACAAAAAAGATGCTCAATATCATCATTTGAGAAATACAAATTAAAACATTACAGTGAAACATCACTACACACTCCCCATAATAGCTAAAATTAAGACGACTAACAATATTGCACCATCAATGATGAAGAGAAACAGGAACACTCATTTGTTGCTCCTGGGAAAATAAAATCATATAACCACAGAAAATAACCTAGAAGTTCCTTATAAAATTAAACATGTCCAATAATCAGACCCCCTCCCCAGATATTTCTAGAAACAAAATAAAAACACATGTCCAATGGAAGGAGACCCTCATTGTTATACAAAATTACATATATGAGGAAGTGAGGGGAAAGGGGAAAAAAATAAGAGAGAGAAATGAATTACAGTAGATGGGGTAGAGAGAGAAGATGGGAGGGGAGGGCAGAGAAGGGGAGGGGGGATAGTAGAGGATAGGAAGGGCAGCAGAATACAACAGACACTAGTATGGCAGTATATAAAAACATGGATGTGTAACCGATGTGATTCTGCAATCTATATACAGGGTAAAAATGGGAGTTCATAATTCACTTGAATCAAATGTATGAAATATGATATGTCAAGAGCTTTGTAATGTTTTGAACAACTAATAAAAAAAAGAAATTAGAAATGATTAAAAAAAAAAGAAAAACACATGTCCACACAGAGATTTGCACACAAATGTACATAGCATAGCAGCTTTATTCATAGAAGCCAAAAAGTGGAACTACATCAAATGTTTATCAATGAATGAATAAAAAAATGTGGTTTATCAGTACAATAGACAAACAAAAAGAATGAACTACTAATACATGAAAAAGTATAGATTGTTTCAAACACAGGCTGAGCAAAAAGTCAATTACAAAGAGTACATGAGTCATAAAATGCTGGAATGGCAAAATTAATGTACAGTAGAAGAAAGCATATCACCACTTGCATGGGGCCAGGTGGATGGTGACAGACAGAAACTTTTTATAGGTGATGGATATGTCCTACATCTTGGATGGATAGTGTATTAGAGGTACATATTTGTTAAAACCTATATTCTTCTTAACTTACAGTGGGTGCATTTTTTGATATGCACAGTACAAATAAAAAAAGTTGATTTTAAAATGTCAAGGTCAAGAAAAAAAAAAGACTAAAGAACAGTTCTAGACTAAGTACACTAAATGACAGCACAATTAAATACACTGCATGATCCTGAACATGGAGGAAAAAAACTTATAAATGACATTACTGGGACAACTGATAAAATATGAACATGGATTATAGATTAGATCATAGTACTGTATCAATACTAAATCTCCTGATTTTGATCATTGTAGTATTACTATATAAGACAAGTTTTTGTGCTTAAAAAATATTTGAACAAAAGAAGAAGATGGCATTTATTATCAAATGGATCAGCAAGGAGACAGACAGAAAGGTGGATGGGGGGTAGAATATAAACCATAAAGCAAAATATAAACAACTGCAACTGATAATCTGGGTGAATGTTATGTGGGAATTCCTTGAACTATCCTTGCAATTATTCAGTATGTTAAAAATTATATTTTATGACAAAATAAAAAATATTTTAAAGATGAGGTAAGCTTTAGATGTGAACAAAACACAACTATATTCTAGTTCTTAAATGTATCATAAAAGCCAGAAGACATTGAAATGATTGATCCTATTTATCAGGGTTCTTTAATTGGTTCTAAGGATGTCTCAGGAAAAAGAAAGGAAGAATAAATCCTCAGTGCCATTACAGAAAAGGGAAACTGCTCTCCACAGACAGGCTCTTCTTCCTCTCTTTTCTACAAAGAAACACGGCATCTGATTTCCTAGTCATGTAATGAAAAAAAACATTTTCTTCCTCTTGCAGCTCATCTCTCTCTGCTTCCATAGCAGAAGTCAAAAACATTTATTTGTAAGTAATCACAAATTATGACAGTAAACAAACAAAAACTACAATATTCCATGTTTAACTTTTATTCTCATCACACATTAAAGCAGATGAAATACTTTACAGTCTTTTTTCACAAATACAATTGTAGCTATTATTGCATTCAATAGCGACTTCTCTTGTTGCAGATAAAAAAACACAATGTCCTCTTGCAGGAGACATCATTATGGGAAGATGACTACAGAAGAGAAAAGAGGGGGGCAACTCTTTAATTCTGAAGTTTATAGAATCATGTCTCTTTATCACACTCATAATCCCCCATGTTATTTTACACTGGCAATTTTTGGATCATTAGACAACATTTAATTTACAATATTACCATGGGATTACAATATACCAAGCATGGTTTCTTTTTTTAGATTTTTTTTTATTTGTAGATGGACACAATACCTTTATTTCATTTGTTTTTTTTTTTTGTTGTTGTTGTTGTTGTTGTTTTGTTTTTTATGTGGTGCCGGGGATTGAACCCAGTGCCTCACACATGCTAGGCAAGCGCTCTACCACTGAGCCACAACCCCGGCACAAACATGCTTTCTTATGTCAATCTTTTCAATAAAGTGAAAGACTAAAAAGAATTTCTGTAACACATAACCAGGTCTCATATGTCTATATTTTAAAGGAAAATTAGAATATAGTTAGAGATAAGATTTCTTGATTGAAGTTTTTGTTTGTTTTGTTTCTTTTCCTCCTCCACCCCATATCTAGCAGTTATTGCTAAAACATGATAATTCATTAACTGTCCTGTCTATAGCAGGACATCAGTTTCAGCAAAATGGTGTACTAAGTACCAGAACTACCTTCCAGTGGAAAATAATTCTAAATGTTGAATAAAAAAAATTGAAAACTTTTTGCATAAATTCATGCACTGGTAAGAAGCAAATTTCTATAGAGGCTGAGGCTTAAGTAAAGGTGGAACTGAAAAGGATAAGTGAAGCACTGAGGAAAGATTGTCCCTTAATAGATACAGTAGGCTGAATGATAAATTCTACATCATGGGTATTCTAAATAATGAATGCCACACAAGCCACCGAGTGCTGAGAACTCAAAGGGATATATCTTCAGTAAAAGTCCCTAGGAACTATCTTGAACCTTAGATTTAAGCAGAAGGAAAAAAAAGAATAACCTCACCTAAGAATTCAAAATCACAAAGCATCCCTCATGTAATACATATTTGATACATTATTTAAAATATTCAAATCTGCTATAGGATAAGAAACAAATAAGAAAGATAAATGAAACCAAGTAACTTGTGAGACACAGGTAGAACACGTAAGATGTTTTGAAGAGATAGGTAAATTAGTAACCTATGAGAAATGTTAGGCATAGATACAGTAAGTAAATCATGTGTGATGAACATAAACAAAAAAGAAGACAAAGCAGACACTAACTATGCACAAAATATACATGAAGCATATCCTCAACATTCACAAGGTCATTCCATCTCCCATTGGTGACACCCATTCTAGCCCCTGCCCAATTAACACAAATTAAATTCATAAAACTGCTCATAAGGTTAATTGGAGAGGTGAAGTTGTAGCCAGGCTTATATGATACTGTGACTCCCCAGTAGAGAAAATATGTGTGCTGATCACAATAGTTTTTCTCTTTGTAGCCCTCATAACTCAAACCTCAAATCTGGCCCTATAACCCACACTATCATCAGGGAAGGATTCTGCTGCAGAGAGCATCAGGGCATAAAAAGATTGCTTGACGCAGGTTTCAGATGGCCCTCTCCCCATCTTGTGCCTTACTGTATCTATGACAGCCTACCTATATCTTTCCCTTTGCATTGTGCTACAGGTTCTAGGTGGATTTGATTTACCATCTGATCTGAGCATCTTAATTTGGCCTGTGAGTCTTTCTGTTTTATGACCTCCAAAGTAGTTTATCTAACAATGTCCTTGGAAAATACAAGTATGTCAAGGTGATTTCAGGTCATTTTTTGCAGGTTTACAACTCAGAGCTCCCAATACTTGCCCACCCCAAGTGAAAAGTAGACCAGATTCAGTGCTGCTAAACATCCAACTAAAGCAATTTTTTTCTTGGGGAAGCCACCATCTTCATCTCAGACCTCAAATGGTTTCCACTGCAGCTTAAAGAGGGAAAAAAAATTCCACAAAGAAAATTGTATCATGGCCAGACATGGTGGTGAATGCCTATAATCCCAGTGACTCAGGAAGCTGAGGCAGGAGGATCAAAAGCTCAAGGCCAACTTTAGCGACTTAGTGAGGCCCTAAGCAACTTCCTTGTCTCAAAATAAAAAATATAAAGGGTTGGGGATATGCCTCAATGGTAAAGTGCCTCTGGGTTCAATCCTAAGAAGAAGAAGAAGGAGAAGAAGGAGAAGAAAGAAGGAGAAGAAAGAAGGAGGAGGAGGAGGAGGAGGAGGAGAAGAAAGAAGAGGAGGAGGAGGAGGAGAAGAAGAAGAAGAAAGAAGAGGAGGAGGAGGAGGAGGAGGAGGAGGAGGAGGAAAGAAAATTACATCATGAAAAAAGCCAGCAGAAATAACAGAAAAATACTAGAATTATCAGATATCAAATGTGAAATATGTTTCACTGTTTTAAGAAATAAAAGGCAGCTTGAAAATATGAGTGTCTAGCAAGATTATTTGAAAACACAAAAGAGAATTCCTAGAAATAAAAATACAATACTTAATATTTCTAAATAATGAACAATTTTATGGCAGATTAGAACTAAATGTAAACCTAATTGTTTACATACTGCTGCAATTCAAAATGGAAGGTATGTATATGCATATGAATGATTGTATCTATATGCAAATTCTTATATTTATGTCAATAAATAACATAAACAAACATACTAATTATATAAAGAAGTTTCATATGAATGTTTGGGATATTCAGAATATTCATTATAGCTAAGTCAGATGGTACAATCACGTCACCTTAAAATTTATGATTCATGATTCATGATTTTGAACCAGGTGTAGTGGTGCACACCTATAATCTCTCAAGCACACTGTAATCCTAGCTTCTGAGAAGAGGATCACAAGTTCAAGGCAAACCTGGGCAACTTAGTAAGACCCTGTCTCAAAATAAATTTTGTGATGGAGGTCAGGGGTTAGGGATGGAATTCTGTGGTAGAGTGCCGCTATCAAAAAAGTTATGATTGCTTCATTTTCTGCATCTCATAACACATACTTCTGAGATCATACTACTATTATTATTAATAACTCTGTATGACACCTCTCTTCCTTTTTTAACTGTACTTTCTAAAACACTTTATAACCCATTCTTCTTATTTTCACCAGTGACTTCCATTTGAAAATGTGTTAAATTGTGTGAAATGAGAGAATATTCATTCCAGACATAATCCTTCCAACTCCCACACTAATGGTAGAGTTTGAATGTATTCCAGAAACTCACATTCCAGAAGATGTGTCACTGTCAACCCATTTCCATTTCCTTTCACATTCATCATATGATAATCCAATCCAGTAATTATTTTTACAAGCCTGTTGTTTAAGGAAGGCCTATACAGGAAACAAAAAACATTATGTCACAAAATTCTCATCTATTAGATAAACAAAGAGAATGACAGGTCATAAGGCCAGGTGTTCCTGTGACCAGTACTCTGCTAATTCTCCTCTACCTCTCTTTCTTCAATCCTTGCATTTTCATTTTCCAAAGTAATTTTCCACTAGTAGATTATTTATTTTAAAAGTATAACTTTTGTAAATTATTAAAAACATGCAAAATGTAAAAATCTATTTAGCAATAATAAATATTTAAATTGTTAAATCATTTTTGACACTTTACAAAACTATTCAAATTCCTACTCCAAAAGAATAATGAAGAATATGAAAAAAGGATCACCACACAACCTTAAGTAAAAGGAATCTTCAAAACAAATTTACTAAAGTAAAAAGTATTACGTGAAAAGGGTGCACATTACAGCTTCAGTATCCTAAGAGAAAGTCTTTCTGTAGTTCAGCACTGAAAGAAGTAAAAGGGAAAAATATTTGGAATAATCTACTATCTAAAATGAAATATATCAGAGTGATATAGCACTTAATGTTAGATTAAATGACTAAGTGGATTTTAAAATATACGTTTAACTATATTTTAACATATCAAACAAAATTATTTCATGACTTGATATCAGGAATTCTTTTATACTGAGATTTTAAATGATATACACCTTTATATATTCTTATATAAGAACATTAACCAAGTAAATATTGCCTATGTATGCAATGAAAATCATCATGAGACTAATTGGTAAAACTGTTATCACTTTTATGGTCCTTAAACTCATCTAAACTCATTTCCATTTTGGGGGGCTGGAGTTGTGGCTCAGCGGTAGAGTGCTTGCCTACCACATGAGAGGCACTGGGTTCAATCCTCAGCACCCATAAAAATAAATAAATAAAGATATTGTGTCCAACTAAACAATAAATATTTTTTAAAAATCATCTTGTTTTCAAGGCAGCCAGAGAGGTTAAGTCATTTACCTGAAGTCACTCAGCTAGTAAGTGGTAGAGATAAATTTGATTCCAGGCAGTTCTAAGTTTTTATTTATTAAACACTTTACCAACCAAGCTATATCCCCAGCCCAAAGTTGCCATTTTATAGGGATAAATAACTGTTGGTTCAGGCTGTAATTTATCAAAGGGTTAAATATTATTCAGGGAAGGGAATATTTTTCTGTTACTCTTACAGAATCCTTTGAAAGGAAAATGACTGCAAAGAACCAAACTGCATCCTTAATAATAATGGTTATCATAATAGATTATACAGATAGAATACTTACAGATTATACAGATAGATAGCAGGTTTATATACTTCTTAGCAGGTAGGAATCTCCCAGGAAACTTTCAATTATATAATTTTTGCCCTCATAACAGACAGAACACAAATAGGTGAAGGTCCTTCCTTCTGAACTCCTGCCTGTCCTCAGTATCTTAGATCCAAGGGTAAGTGACAGCATCCAAGAGAAAGAAAAAAAAAAGTGGATGTGAGTTCACAATACCTGTTCATCTTCATCATTTATCTTCAAAAGGGATAATCCATTGTCTTGGCAAGTTTTCTTACATCCCTCCCATTTTTCTTGTTTCTTGGTAAAATGATAACATTTTACTCCATAACAGGACCAGTGGCCTTCACAGATCAAACCTACAACACGTAATGTGAAACTTTAAATTTATTATCTGGTAGTCTGTCAACTACAGAAATACATTTATCAGTCCTCTATATCTAAATAATATCTCATTGCTATCAGTAATGACAATATGAGGATCACCAAAATTCTGGAGTACCAAGAGATATCCACACTCATGTCAATGCAGTACTATTCACAACAGCCGAGATGAAAACAACCTAAAATAATATGTTACATATGAAAAGATATTGTTCAACCTCTAAAAAGAAGTAAATTCTTTCTATGTGACAACATGACGATCCTTGAGGATGTTATGCTGAGTGAAATCAGCCAATCACAGAAGAAAAATAATATTTCATGATTCTACTTATACCATATATCTAACAGATAAGAATGCTGGATTCTGGAATGACATCTAAATATGAGAAACATTTTTTGTAACTTTTTCTTTTTCTCTTATTTATGTCATAATGTACGGAATTTGTAAATAGTATTCATCCTTTAATAAGAGATAGTAAATCCCACAATACCAAAGTGAGATTACACATGAAAAAGGTCTTTATAAACTCTAAATCCTAATATTTAGTACTTGTTGATTAATCAACTCAATTCAAGATAATCAGGTCATTATGCAAGGTAACAGTTTACTGCATGAAATTTAACATTTGTATCTCTTTGGTGTTTTGATGGCATTATCACAGAATTGCACAAACATCAACCATATGGAAAATCTTGCCGATATACTGCAAGTAATAAGTATTTACACTGGTCATAAATCTATCTTCCAAATATCTGAAGCCATAGCAGAATGAAAACACATATATACACAAAAATTATTTTTAAAATAGCATCCAAATAAATGTCCTTGAGCCCATTTTTGCCTAAATATACTTTTAATGACAGCCTCCATATCCAATGTTAGCAACAGAGTAGGAGTCTGATTTTCCTACAGGAACAAAGTGCTCTGAATTTTCAGGGTAACTGACATATTTTCACCTTCTGAAAGGAGTAGGAATGTAAGAACAGCAATTGAATTGGGGACACTATATAGGGTCTTAATAATCCAAGTATGGCTTCTGGGGGCCCCAACCCTATGCTTGAAATAAGCATACCCAAATACCTACATCATATCTAAGAGGGACAAATCAAATTTTTTTCCAGTAGGCCCAGAGATCACTAGTATATAATATAACCCAGTTTATTAGACTTCAAAGCTTCTGAAGGAAAAGAAATTGTGCAATTATTTAAAAATATTATTTAAATAATAATTTAAATAAAGATTTCCTCCATACCTTTATTTTGCAAAAATTCTGAATAGATCTCAATTTTCTTATGACATTTGTTCTCATGATTTGATTCCAAATGAAGGGTTTTATTTTTGAGACTATCATATTCTAAAGACTTATTTATCCAAACTTGTTCCTTTAAGTAGTAGTCATTTTTCATAATGTCGTACACTTTGCTGAAGTTTTTTAGAATTTCCTGCTGGTGATGTTTTTCTTGAACACACTGAAAAACTAAAATTAACAGCATAGATGTAATACAAAAAAGTATTCATAATGAATAAACATTGAAATTTAAGCCAAAAGAAAAAGCTTCATTTTGACAACTAACTCATATTAGTAATTTGACATTTAGAAAGTAACACCTCAGTGAACTGATCATAGAAATGGAATCATCAAATTTCTCAGTATTAGCAACTTTAATGTAAAATAAGAAATAAGCTATGTGAATAAAATTTTGATGATAACACCTTACCTTTCAGTTTAGTTCATTTTTAATAAATAAGTAGCAAAGTAAAAATCAATCAGTCAATATTTAATACATCTTTTGAGTATGAAAATCTGAACTAAGAAACATGAGGAGGTGGCATAACTATTACTGAAGCAGATGGAATGCCCATAGGACCAAGAAAATAATATTGGGATATGTAATTTTATCTAAGAATAATATATCAATGATTTTCTCTAAAGATAAGACAGAATTTTTTTTAAAAAAGATAAAGTTTAAATTCAAGATCATTTAACATCTACATACAGATTTTTTAATAAGCTATTTCCTAGTTATATTATTAGAAGAAAAGCTATAATTTCTTTTGAACAGTTACTTCTCAAAAATGTTTACCTCAGGTTCATGATAACCTGAATACCATGGCAGAATTTCACTCAATCCTCTACCAGAAGAAATATGACCATGTATCAGATTAAGTGTATAGCTCACCACAGCCTCAGAGTCCATGGAATAGGTAAGTAATATTAAAATGACACTGCAATATGTCCAGGAAAAAAAGCCTCACTCAAAGTTCAGAGCCACCTAAGTCTTTCCCTGACTACAGACAGGAACTAATGGATGAAGCATGTTAAAGTCTGTACAATTAGTGTCTAAAGCTCAGTACTCAGATTAAGAAAAATGGATTTCAGTTACTCACTCTTGATCACCAACACTATGACTGTCGTCAACAAAAGTAAACAGAAAATTCCAAGAGTCACTGCAATAAAGTTCCAGGGCACAGAAAACTCTTTAAATGAAAAAAGAAGAAAATAAGCAACACAGAAAAAGCTATGGCCCACCACTACTAACCTTAATGTGGGAGACCATATGAAAAAAGGAACTAAAAATTTTTTCAAAAACATATTATACAAGTTGATTTAAAGTTGATTAATTTGTAATCTAGGAGTTACAATTTTCAAGTTTTAGGTTTCTAGTTGACATGCCAATTGTATAAATCCTGCATGTAGGAACAGTTCTATAGGATTTCAAAAGCACATCCCTTACAAAAACACCAAAGGCAATAGACACAATTCATATAGAAGACCCCAAGTTGATGTGTACTCCCAGTCCTTGTGATCGTAAACAATCATGTAGAGGAGAGAAAGATAAGTCAGTAGTTTTTTTTAATTTTTTTTTAATATTTATTTTTTAGTTTTCGGGGGACACAACATCTTTGTTTGTTTGTATGTGGTGCTGAGGATCGAACCCGGGCCGCATGCATACCAGGCGAGCACGCTACCGCTTGAGCCACATCCCCAGCCCCAAGTCAGTAGTTTTGATAAATTAATAGCCAAAAGTGAATACTCTGAAGCTCAAATGGGATAGAGGGCCATACTTAAAGGAATTTCTAGAAATCAACTTTCTGTTTTCTTTCATCAATTATCTTTTTCTCTAGGCAATACTATATTTACTCTTATGCTTTTGAAGTCCTTGGTATCTGAAGCCTGTATCTCTGATAATCACTAAATCAAAGAAGTAAGTTTTCAACTTAGAGTTTAATTTTGACAATATTTGAAAGGAGAATAGAAATAGAGAATCGAAAAATTAGAACTCCTCCCTGATTTGAAAATTTTTGCTGCTTCATTACCATTAAAGTTTGGTAAGTATTTAAGATACTTAAAATATCTTTTGTCTGAGTGAAAATATCACTCTTAACATAAACTTTTCATTTCTTTTTTTTTAAAGAGAGAGAGAGAGAATTTTTAATATTTATTTTTTTAGTTTTTGGCGGACACAACACCTTTGTTTGTATGTGATGCTGAGGATGGAACCCGAGCCGCATGCATGCCAGGCGAGTGCGCTACCGCTTGAGCCACATCCCCAGCCCAACTTTTCATTTCTCTAAGAATTTTATTTCTCTAGAAAATTCAATGTTTCTTCAGACTTCAGTATGTCCTTTACTTTTAAAGCCCTCATAAATTTTTTTGGTCCAATTTGAATCAAAACATCCTATTAGTTTCTCAAATTCAAAAATATTTACTCATTTTCCCATTGTCACAAAATTTTTTAAAGACTTCATTCTACAACTCTACCCTATTTATGGTTCATATTACCAGCTGACAACCAGAAGTGCAAACAGAATTTTTATTCAAATTGCAAAATTTGGGCAATTCACAATAAACATATTAATTTAGATGCTTAAAATATATACCTTTGTCAACAGCTTTTCTAGGACTCTGAGTAGAATCACTCCTTGATCTACTCGGTGATTCTGAAGGAGACTGAAGAAATCTCAGGGTTGAATAAGTCACCTCCTGATTGCTCATCTTTAGAATTAGAAGAGAAGTATGTTTCACATTAAAAACCTTGCCATGTGATGACTTCTATATAAAGAAGAAATGAAAATGTGAGCCTATATAAACAAACCAGGATTTGATGCTGAGAGGTATGTGTACATGTATCTGTGGGTGTGTGTTTATTAACTTCTTTAAGTGCATAAAGCTTGTAGACTGAACCTTATTTATGAAAGAAATGAAACGTCTTTCAAATTTCTGATTAAAGATACTTTACAGAAGAAGAAATACAATAGATCAACAAACATATGAAAAATTGTTCAATATCTCTGGCAATTAGAGAAATGCAAATCAAAACTACTCTCAGATTTTATCTCATTCCTGTCAGAATGGCAATTATCAAAAATACAAGCAATAATAAGTGTTGGCAAGGATGTGGGGGAAAAGGTACACTCATACATTGTTGGTGGGACTGCAAATTAATGCAATCACTATGGAAAGCAGTATGAAGATTTCTCAGAAAACTTGGAATGGATCCACCATTTGACCCAGCTATCCCACTCTTCCCGTTTATACCCAAAGGACTTAAAATCAGCATACCACAGTGACGCAGCCACATTTACAGCAGCTCAATTCACAATAGCTAAACTACGGAACAAACCTAGATGTCCTTCAACAGATGAATGGATAAAGAAAATGTGTTACATATACACAATGGAATATTAGTTAAAGAGGAATGAAATTATGGCATTTGCAGGTAAATGGATGGAACTACAGAATATCATGCTAAGTGAAATAAGCCAATACCAAAAAAACAAAAGCCGAATGTTTTCTCTGATAAGTGGATGTTGATCCATAGTGGGGTGGGGGGATAGGGAAGAATGAAGGAAGAAATGTGTAGAAGAAAGTGAGGGGAGGGGTGAGGTGGTGGGGATGGAAAGGACAGTAGAAAGAGACATTATTACCCTATTACATAAGTATATAGGGTATATATGTCCTATATACCCTATATACATAGTGTAATAATCTATGTATGATTACATTACTGGAGTGACTCTGAACCATGTACAGCCAGAAGAATGAGAAGTTGTGCTCCATTGGTGTACTATGTGTCAAAATGCATTCTACTGTAAAATAAATAAATTTAAAATAAAAATTCTGTTTAAGTCATTTATGCACCTAGTTAATCACTGTCAGGGTTATTAAAAATATAAAGAGAAAAATCCATGAATAGATTATGCTCCTATTGGCCCAGCCAATTTTGCTTAAAATGTTCAATATACATATGCAAATGTTAGGCCAAATTGTTTCTACCTCAAACCACCAAAACACTTATAAATTGTCAATTCAAATAAAACTGTCAATTCAAAGTATTCTGAAAGCACTTTTAAACTGTCAATTCAAAGCATTCTGAAAAAATACTTTTGCTTTTTAAAAACTTTTCCATGTTCTTGTAAGAAGACAAGAATGGTAAGAATATACCTTGTATACAATCAGAAATATGAAAATTTGTCCTCTATGTGTAATATGAAATGTAATATATTTTGCAGCCATATATAACAAATTAGAATAAAAATAAAATTTATCTAGCTTTACGACCTGCTTAATATACATAAAAAAACTTACACATGATCTGGCATACATATAAAAAATACTTATATTGCATGACTATACCAGTGTTTCTCCACGTATATTGCAGACACTATCAGCAAAATAATTATTCAAGGATTAATATTGCAAACTGTTTTAGATTCCAGGGCCCTGTACAAAATGTAATAAATAAAAATCTCTTGGGTTGAAGCCCAAACACCTGCATTTTCAATCCCAAATAATTTCATGTACATGAAGATTTTCTGAATAATTTTCTAGTGTGTGACGATGACAGAAAAGTCTATGTAAAAATAAAATTTGTCAATAGGCATTCATTAGTTAACATAAGTAAAAGATTCAATCTAGTAATGGATATCAATATAGAAATAAGTAGTAAATATTTAAAATTTACTTTGCATCTTAATCAGTTCAATAAGATTACATCCAAGAAATAGCAAATACAAAAAATTGCACATGTAACTGTATTCTTTTCTAAATTTTTTAATGTACAAATTTTTCTAAATTGAATTATTCATGTTTCTTCTAGTTTCCTAAGAAAAAGATCTTTCTTTAAATTCTTCAAGATGGATAATATTTAAATCATTAGACCCAAATTAAAATAAAAAAACTTCCCAAATCCCTCTTCCTTTATTTTGATAGCAAAGAGCAAAACTCATAGCATATTGAGAAAGAGAAAATGGTAAACTTCAGTTTTCATATCTTTCAGAGTTAATGCAATTCTAATGCAATCAACAAATACTTGCCTACCAATCTCAATCTCATGTCCAGCCATTTGTAATTAAATACCGTATCTCTAGAATAAGTGGGATAAAGTACAAAGCTCTGAGGAAATAAAGGCAGATGTTACCTGTATTTGTGCCATGCAGTGATGCAGCTGGAGGCAACTGAACCAAAAATGAGGAATAGGTAGGCCTTTTCAGTCCTGGATCCCTCAGAGACAGTAAGACAAAAAGCAGAAATGAATTACTTCTAAATGACACTCCAACTCAAAAAGTTTCACCCCTCCTCTTGACCAAAGTGATAAAAGGAAATCATATGGTAAAAGCTGATGTTAACGGAAAAGAAAGATGGTCGTGAGTTATATATTCCTCCACTTGAATTAACCAACAACTTGGTTGTCTGCAAAATATGCAAAACATTCAAAATCAGTATTTGGGGACTGAAAAGACAGAGGAATACATCTTTGGGGAAAACAAGAAAATATATTTTAAAAAATCCAACTACTAGTAAAAAGATATGACTTAAAAATCTACATATAAATATATACATATTTGTGATAAATGTTATATCTAAATTCTTTAGCTCTTAATTTAAACATTAGTCTTTCTGTTAAAAACTTTCTCTTGTTATTATTTTTCTTACTACTTGGGAAGTTTTTTTCTTTTTTCATTTATATTTATTGTAGATAAACACATTTTAGAAATTACTTCAAAACATCTACATTCCCATCATAAAAAATTTTGGTGTGTATTCTTATAACTTTTATCCATGTTATATTCACTATTAAATTTGATATCTTTCCACACACAGCATTTTTTATCAGTTTCTAATAAACAATAAGTATTTCCTCATTTAGAAATATTTATCTAAAACATGATTTTTAAAACCATATATAATTATTATCAACATGGATATAAAAATTATTTCAGTAATACATTACTATTGGATATTTAGGTTACCTCCAATTTTTTTTTGTTTGTTTGTTTTGGGTTTTGTTTTTTGTTGTTTTTTTTTTTTTGCTGGTATCAAAAAAAATATTTTGAGGTCAAAGAGTATTACTATAATTTATATATATATATATATATATATATAACACACATACACATATATATATATAATACCATATTATCATGAATCTTATTCTTACTTGAAAAAATTTATCTCTACAAATTTTCAGCAACGCCTCCCATTTTCACATATGCAGAACACTTAAAAACAATCCATTAAGGCTGGCAATGTAGCTGTCATAGAGCACTTGCCTAACAACCATAGAGCCCTAAGTTCAATCCCCAGAAACTTGAAAAGAGAACCAAAAACAAAAAAAGGAGAGAGAAAAGAAATTCATTTCTATAACTATTATTAAGAGCCAGATGAAGTTCATTTCCATTTGATCCAGCTTTTAAAATCTTCTGACTTTGGTTCTATGAAACCAATTTAAATTGTTTTTCACTGTCACTCAGCTTTGCTTCTGACACCTCCATTTCCCCTTCTCCTTTCTCCTTGTATGTGTGTTTACCTAAACTATATGCCATAAACCTAAAAAAATAAAAAAAATTAAAAAAAAATAAATAAATTGTTTTTCAAATCAAATGATGGTTGCTAATAGAGTGTGGGGATGTGGAGTGAGGGAGAGAATAGAAGGCAAAATGGATTATGCGGAGACAAACCCCATCCATACTTTGTTTAGTTCTAACCAAATCCCTTGCTTATTCTTTTCTTCCTTCACCAACCACTAGTCAGCACTGAACCATTATTCTTCAGAGGGTCTCCATATTCTTCACTTTGGTCATTCCTCCCACCTTTCCTCCAAACTACTTCAGACAGTATACTACGTGTTCTAACCCCTTGGATATAGTCTAAGTTGTGCTACCTGTCTTTTGTGTGTGTATGTTTTTTTGTTTGTTTGTTTCCACCTGCCCTACTTGTGTCCCGAGACAATCCTTGGTCTCTGAATTACTACTGAAGTCTGCCACTTGTCATCATGCCCCAGAAGTCAGATAAAATATCTACCAGAGACTCATTTAATTCAACAATGTAAGCAGTTTTAAGGTAAACCAGAAAATTGCTGCTTGGCATTTTCTTCTCCCTCGCTAATCCTTGGTTTTCTCAACCAGATAAAGAAGATCCCTAGCCTTCTATCTCGAAGTCAAAAAAGTAAAGAAGGAAAACTCTGCTGAGAAAAGGTAGAGAGTGAGGGTAAAGGAAGTTATAGTGGTAACTGAGAAAGTGGCAGAGACACTGTGCATAGCCATATTGAAACCTCCCAACACTGACAATTGTATATTATTATCCCCGCTTTACAAATAAACTATTATTAAAAGGTTACTTGACCTAAGAACACACTATTGCCAATTCTTTTTTTTATAAAGACATTGACTTTTTTTTTAAGGGGAGAGAGAGAGAGAGAGAGAGAGAATTTTTTAATATTTATTTTTCAGTTTTCGGTGGACACAACATCTTTATTTTATGTGGTGCTGAGAATTGAACCCAGTGCCCCATGCATGCCAGGCGAGCACGTTACTGCTTGAGACACATCCCCAGCCCAATTGTCAATTCTTGACCTATGTTTAAAATAAGTCTTGACAATATAGGACATGGATAGACTATGAATTCAGAATGGACTGCAACAAAGCATGAATTTAGGAATCAGGAAAATGTGTTTGAATACCAGTTCTAGCTCTCTTGTGTTCTCTAGTTCTCTTAGTTCAAGTCTCTTAGCTCTCTAGGCCTCAGATTCAACACAGTAAAATGGTAGTAATATTTGCCCTCCAAGGTTGCTGTCAGAACTAAGGCATATAAGTGCTTGACTATAACCTAGTATATATAGAGGAGGTGCTCACTGAATTCTAAATATTATTATTACTTGGATTCCAAGATTCAAATTCTTCCTAGTCATAAAAATTTGAATAAATCACTGAATCTTCAAAACTCAGTTTGTTCATGTTTTATATGAGTTTTGCCATTTCATAGCCTTGGAAGAATAAAATGAAATTAGTACTGCAGATGGGATTTCTTGGACTTCAAAAAAAGATGGGATTTTTTGTTTGGTTTGTTGGTTTCCTCTCCTAATTTCTATAAAGTGGAAATACCAGCACTGCAACCCAGAAATGCTAATAGACTGTTGTGGTTCGAATATGGTTTGTCCCCACGAAAACTCATATTGAAACTTGGACCCCAGTACACTAGTATTGGGATGAAGAAAGCAGTGGGAGGCTTTTGGGTTATGGGATGGAGCCTCATGAATAATTCATGCCTCTCTGGCAAGACTAGTTACTGTCACAGCAGGTTGTTTGAAAACAAGTTCACTCCTGGTGTTCTGTCTTCCATGCACTCCAATTGTCCTCACTTTCTGCCATGAGTTGAAACATCATGAGGCCCTTACCAGATGAGACCACCTGATCTTAAATTTCCCGGCCTCCAAAACCGTGAGCCAGAATAAAATTCTTACCCACTCTCAGGTGTTCTGCTATAGTAACATAAAATAAACCAATGCACACTCTTTATCCAACCACATCAAACTTGGAATGCAAGTATTTGGAAGAACAAGGTAAGGACAGCACATAATTTAGGAACTGTAAAACATACAGCAGTATGTCACTACTGCTTTAGAAAAACCATTCTATGGCTTCAGATCAAGAAATTTATATTATATTGCCCCATAAAGATATTGGCGACATTAAGGTTTTTTGCCCATTTTAATTTACATCCACATAGCCAGTGATGGGTGGAGAGTCCTCAGGATGGAGGCTAAAGAAGTCAGAGCACTTTTTCTTATACTTCTTACATATTGCCTCTTCTAATATTAAGTCCACAAAGGTGAGTACCATATCTGTCTTATTCACTATTGTAACAGCAGCACAAATAAGAGGCATGATGCCTACCAGTGTGCTTGATCAGCAAAAAGATAAATGTTGAGTAAATGACCATAAAATCTAGATTTTTTTCAGTTTTAGAACAGAATGATACAAGTGATTAGAAAGCTACATTGTGTAACTGCTCCTCTAAACTTTTTCTTACTAAGCTCTAAATTTCTGAAAAAGGCAATTTTTTTTTTTAATGAGAAGACAATTAACTTTAGAAGTAACTTCAGAGAGAACTGATTAAAATTCCTAACATGAGTCTTTGATCAAAGCAGCACAAAACTGGAAGTACTAAACTGTATTATAACAAAATTAATAAAACAAAGATGAAAAATTGGCTCTAGAACTTTGTCTTTTAAATTCACTTTTGCATAAAACATATACATATAAACATAAATATGTATTCATTTATTTTCTGGCTGCTTTGCTGCAAAAGCTTTTGTTTTTGTTTTTGTTTTTGTTTTAATTTAGGAAAACACATATTTTACTCATTCCTTTCTGGTGATACAGTTAGCTAGAAGCTTTGCACACAGCTTGTGATCACACCTTCAGACCTTCCGGTCACACCCTCAAACCTCAATGGTTTTTATCATTTCACAGCTCTATGTAGTTCTTCCTGTCCCAGGCTGAGGTGAAAGATGTCTACCAGCTCACAGGGAATGATGATCTGAACTACCTTATTTTTTAGAGGAATAACCACTCCTGACCAAGCTTCCCATTTTGTATACTCATCCTCATGACTAATATTTATACCACTGAAAAATACTAAGTTTCTGAGCTCTTAGAGTAAAAGAACAAGGGCCTCTATTTTGAGATTTCCTGTTACTCTAACCACCTGTCCTTTTTCTATTAAAAAAAAAAATATATTTCACTGTTCTAGATTTAAATACTCCATATTATCCTAACAGGACCACGGGACCTCAATCAGTAAAAGTAACCAAATAAAGACACCTTCAGAACTAAGGAATAATAATAAAAGAATGGCAAATAAGGATTTCAGATAGCTACTTGGGCCCTGTGCCACTAATGAATAAAGTCAGTGCACAGACTGACAGAGAAAATAGTTAAGTACCAATCCATAATTAAGATTTTTGATTATTAAATCAGTGTTCAGTAAACTATATCACACAATTCAGAGAAATGAGACAAGGCAGATATTAAAGACACTGAGCAGTTCTTCAACTTTACTGTTCTTCACTTGGGGAGTTTTCCAAGGCAAACTCTGAGCTCACCTTCAAATCCTTTTACTTTTGGCATTTTACTATTTGGGGGGATTCTTTTATTCTAGCTCTTTATTCATTAAAGCTAGGAATCCAATTATTAAATAATCATTAGGTATCAGTGGTTGGATTTACAACACACACACCACGTTCACAAGTCTCACCCATTTTAAACCAAGATAAGGTAGTCAAACAATAGGATATCTAAAATGATCTCAGCTAACATTTGTATTCATATTAAAAATGTCCACCTGAATAAACCTAGTTTGATCTGTTAGCCAGCTTTGCATAGCTGTGAGCAAAATACCTGACAAGAACAACTTAGGACTTAAGATTATTTCAGCTCACCATTTCAGAGATCTGAGTCCACAGTCAACTCCATTGCTCTGAGCCCTACGTGAGGCAGAACATCATGATGGAAGGGCATGGCAAAGAAAAGTTGCTCAGCTGTGACAGCCAGGAAGCAGAGAAATCAAGAGGAAGAGGCCAGCTACAGAGATGACAAACCTTTCCAGGGCATGCCCCCAGTGACTTCCTTCCTCCATAAAGGTCTTACCTACCAGTAGTCCATGGATTAATCCACTGATGAGGTCAGAGCCCTCATGATCCAATCATTTTCCTAAAACCATACCTCTGAACATTGCTGCATTGGGGACTATGCAGATTGTGACATGAGACTTTGAAGGGACATTCCAGATTTAAACCCTAACATTATTCATAAAATGCCTGTCTTGCACTCTGTTAGAAGCAGAGGCATAGAACGTGGAAAGGCAATAAATAAATACGAGCATAATAAAGTGTGGCAGATCATAAATATTCCCATATTCTCTTGTTTTGTATATGCTGCTTTGGTTGAGCAAAGTTAAAGAGCTCTACTCAAGACTATACATGAGAAATTAGAATCACAGTTACACCACATCCAAAAGACACATCCTTATCTTATGTTCAAATTTGAGATTCTGTGGTATTGAGTATGTACATATGCAAAGATTTGTGGTAATGAAAAAGGTTTCCACAGCAACAAAAATGAATATCACCTGCCTTAAGAGTAAATTACAAAGGCAAATAATCTGAAGGCAATAAGACTACCAGGTGCTGGCTACTCTAAGACCTTGAATGCCAAACCATCAATTGGGAAAAAGTTTGATAATTTTGAGAAGTATCTGTATTAAGGGAGGAGGTAAGGGGGAACATGTGTTGGCTGACCTAAGTGCAGAATGTAAATCTAATTTCAAATAAAACTAGTGATATACAAAATTTAACTTTTAAATGAGCATTGTCTTATCAGCAACTTACAATCAAGTAAAAGCCAGTTCAAACACACAAGGTATAAGAAAACCATAGATAAAAATACAAGCTATTAATCCTAGTCACCTATTTTCTGATTTTGATCTGAGTATGAGAAATCTTCATGGAGAGTGGGGATAGAGCAAAATAAGTAAATAAATACTAGAGAGAAGTTAGAGAATGGTTCAGAGTTCATATGTTAACTTTTTAATCTAAGGAATATTTCTCCCTAACCATGCTCAATCTTGAGTGGATTGGCTTATTCAACAAAAGCCTCAGACTGCCAATTTGAGAAATAACCAATAACTGTGAGTACCCTAGAAGTTCAGAGCATTTGTTCCTTTCTCCTTGTGTGGACATGTAAGTGAAAGAGAGTTATAACATGTTCTACACTGTACATTCATTAAGGCCTACAATTTGAACAGGAATATTTATTTCCATACAGTAAAACTGAAGATGATGAGTCTTATCTTGCACAATGTAGATAAACTGGCTTTCCACAACAAATCTGAAGAGCCATGCATTTTACTTTATTTGTAGAATATATTTTGACATATTAGACATGGAGTATCACTTCCCATTCTTGTGATTGTACATGATGTAGAGTTACAACATAGGAAAGTTATGTCCAATTCATTCAAGCCATGCAATTTTGAGCAATGAAATCAACTGGTGCGCCACTGCCAAAAGTGTAGCCACTAAACATGTGTTTACTTACTACTTCATCAAAATTAAACACATACCCCACACACAAACACACACACAGACCCAGCCACTTGATACCACAATTATAAAATTTATAAAACACCAGATTATAAAATCTATAAGATTTATTATAATCTAGAATGACATGTCAGTGTTTACAACATTCTAACTATTTTGTATATTTGAAATTTATTATAATAAAATGTAAAAACAAATTCATTAAATCACTCTATAAATTTAGTTATACTAGGCACATCTCAAGTAATCAGTAGCCACATGTGGCCAGTGGCTACCGTATGGATTGCACATAAACAGAACATTCCCATTACTGCAAAGTTTCTTAGAATTGCTGTGCTCCAAGCAAGTTAGAAGCCTGGCAAGCCTTCAGAAGCTCTGCCACTATAAAGTCAATATTACCAGTCCCTGGAGCAAGTGAATAAAAACAACTATCTTGACAGCACAAATTTTAGATTGGGGTTCAGAGGGAGGAGGAACAGAACACCAGAGACCCAGTTACTAAAGGAAATAATGAAAGATGAAGTCTAACAGAAAGAGGTTGAAGGGAAGTGGGAAGCATGATTGGAACCTGTGTTCATTAGGAGTTAAATAAGTATATATAGATAAACACAAATTTAATACAATTTGTAAGGCAAAAAATTCATTTAGTTCTTAGACACAAACATATAAATAAGAAATAAGGGCATACTCATATGCAGGTGCTAACACACAATGAGGCAAGGAAGGGAAGAATAGAAGTTCACTGGGTTAGACGAAGGGGGATGAAGTGACAGGAGTGGGGATGGAAATAGAAAAGACAGTAGAATGAATTGGACATAACTTTCCGATATTCACATATGAATACACGACCAGTGTAAATTCACATCATGTATAACCACAAGAATGGGAACTTATGCCCCATGTGTGATATGTCAAAATATACTCTACTGTCATGTATATTTAAAAGGAACAAATTTGAAAAATGAGAAAAACAAATAAGGACATAATCAAAGATGAGTCTGACTACACTTTTTTTTTAACTTTAGAAAATCATTGTTTACACCAAAAAGGTTTAAATGTGAATTATCTTAAGGGATTTGTGATGAATGTATAAAATCCAGAAATTTCTGTAAAAAGTTCTATAAGCACCAAAAAATTAAATCCCACCAGGTATGGAAGAAATAAGAGATCTATAATTGCCTTTAATAGATGGAAATTTGGCCACATATTTCTACCCTAAGAATTTCTGCCATAAGATATATCAACTAGAACAATTTCTTATTATCTTTAAAGTGAATCAGAGATATAGTCTCCTGAAAACAAATAGAACAAAATAAAACCACTATCCAGGCTTTGATGTTTTATTAAAACAAAATTTCAACAAAAGTGACTTTTACTTACAGAATTTAATGTGTATGGGATGTCTAACCTTGGTCCCAAGTGAGAAAAATCATTAAGCCTATTCATTTATTTTCAATATTCAGTTTATGTACAAGAAAAACGTTTTGTTTCACATTCATAAAAATCCCAGTATTAGAAATGGCAAATAAACCCTCCCTTACCTATCCCTTAGTTAAATATACAAAGAGCTTCAAAAACACAGTTTAAATTGGTTTAATCTTGAAGTGTAATCCAATGAGACTGAAAACTAAACATTTCAAGTCCTGTACCAAATAGTAAAATACTCGAAGGCCTTCAGGATCCCTAAAATATAAAAAATGAAAGTTACTTTTTAGTCCTAATGAAACATAATTTTATAAATTCCTTAAACAATATAAAAAATCTGTAATAATTCAGTTAATGGAAGGGAGAAAGGAAGAATCTTGCTGACAACTAAAATGACAAACTGAATGACAACTAAGAGGAACAAACAATTCTATTTTTTCTGTAAGGAAACATGTAAAGTTTTTTTATTAGTATCATTTATATATATATTAAATACATATATATATGTATTTAATATTTATTTTTCAGTTTTCGGTGGACACAACATCTTTATTTTATTTTTATGTGGTGCTGAGGATCGAACCCAGCGCCCCACGCATGCCAGGCGAGCACGTTACCACTTGAGCCACATCCCCAGCCCTCATTTTTATATTTAAAGTGTTACCTCCTTATGGAAAGTAATAGCTATGCATCACAAAAACATGCAAAGCAAAAAAACATAATACTTATAATACTATAATGCTACCACTCTCATGCAATAATGATAAATATTTTGGTGTTTCTATGTATTTTTTTCCCATAACTCTAATCATTCTCTGTCCTTTTTTTTTTTTGGTATTGTTTCACAGCATTAAAAAATAAAACACTTCACTTATAATTTTCATTAATTTAAACATTTTCTCCTTGATAAACATTCAGATTATCCCAATTATAAATGTTTCAATGAGCATCTTGATGTGTACTATAGCTTTTCCAGTATTTGAGAATACTTCCCAAAATAGACACTCAGAAATGAAATTACTAGAGCAAAGATGAATGAAAAATATTAATAGTTTCTGCAGCATATTACCAAAATGCAATGCCACATCCTCACCAACTACGGGAAAATATATTTTAAAAGTATCTGGTCGTTCTTTGTGAGCACAGCTGTTTGTGTCCAGTGGTTATTATGCATTCATTCTTTTTCCTTTCCTCAAATAAATTTTTATGTAAAGCACATATTATGTGTCAAGCCCTATAATAACTGAAGATACAAGATTCTCATGGAGTTTACACTCAAATCAGTAAAGCAGACAAACAAGTTATTAAGGTCAGCGGGAAAACAGTAAAAGCACTTTGGGAACATTTTGAGGGAAAGAGGCAAGAAGAAATGGCCTAGATCAGCCAAAGGCAGGAGACACAAAACTTAGGAAGGATAGGTAGCTAAAAGCATTCTTAAGCTATACTGGAAAATATATTTTCAAGTATTAAACCCATGAAACAGAGTAATAATATATGAGTTAACGAGGCTGATATAATCCAATAAGGATTTTCCCTTAAATTTTGTAACACATTATATGCAGATTTTTCTATAAATAGTTAATAAAATCTGGGCATTACTATATAATGTTGGATTAAGATAATATTTGACACTGAAATATCTTAACTTCTTTGATAGATAAGATACCAAGTCTTTAATGACATAAAAATCAGAATTATCTCTGCATAATAAATTGACAGGATACTACTGAAATAATCTTGGCTCGCAAATGGACTATAGTTGTAAAATGAGCCTTTTAATAATTTATTAGATAAATTTAATAATTTATGTTAATTTAGACAAAATGTTTTAATATACTCACTTTGACTGATTTACATCAATAAGAGAACCTATTTTTGATGTGGTAAAAGAAATGTGTTCATCTCCAATTACAATTTCAAGTTCCTAAAAAAAAAAGAGAGAGAACTATAATTAATATAAAATCTATCCCAGAGATATCTAAATTCTTGCTACAAAAAGATCCCATTTTTAGCTACAAGTTTTCTAGCACTCAACAGAACAGAGGGGAAAAAAAGAAAATCTATCAGGCATCACTGTCCTTAAAACTAACAGCCTCACTGACTAGTCACTGACTGACTAGTTACAAGCACTATCTCCAATTTTAGAACAAACCAAGAATTGCTTATAGAAGATACCATAAAATAAATCAACACAGAAATGTTTATTATAATGCCAGTAAACACTAGAGATATAACTGGGCATATTTAGTAAAAATAATTATATAGTCTTAAATACATTTTTATTTTTCTCATTTATTTTTTCTCTTTTTTTTAATTAGTGCATTATAGTTGCATATAATGGTGGGATTTGCTACTACATATTCACAGATACAACATAACAATATAATTTGGCCAATTGTCATTTGCCGCAGTCTGGCTGGGCTGTGGCCCTCAACAGTCATTCCCTAGGTTTCCTTTCCCTTTCTTCTTCCATCCCGCTGGTCCCTTTCCTCTACTCTACTGATCTCCCTTCTATTTTCATGAGACACAAACCTCAACACACCTTTCTTTTCTCTTTTCCTTTCTAGTTTTTAAAAATGAGAAAACATGCAAACTTTGACCTTCTGAGTTTCTTATTTCGCTTAACATAATGGTCTCAAGTTCTATCCGTTGTCCTGCAACATACTTTCTTTTTTCTTTATGACTAAATACGGCTTCTTTGTGTATACATACCACATTTTCTCTCCATTCATCCACTGACAGACACCTAAACTAGTTCCATAATTTGGCTATTGTGAATTGTGCTACTATAAACAGGCATGCATGTATCTCTGTAGTATGCCAACCTTTATTCTTTAGGATAAATACTGAGGAGTGGTATAGCTGGGTCATATGGTGGTTTCATTCCTAGTCTTTTGAGGAGCTTTCATACTGTTTGTCATACTGGTTATACTAATTTAGAGTCCCAGCAACAGTGTAAAAGTTCCTTCTTCTCTATACCCTCTCCAGCATTTATTATTGCATAAGCCCATTTTAACATAATAAATATAAATATATTTTCCCTTTCTTTAAGGTTCTACAAATAAAATACATGACATTAATAATAGCTACCACTTTGGTACCTAATATGTTTCAGGCCCTGCTGCTTGAACTTTACATTTTTTGTAATCCCTAAAATAATCTTATAAGTAGGTCTTATTAGCCTTATTTTATAAATATATAATTTATATATATATATATATATAATTCATAAAACATACAAAAGATTTATAACCACTAATAAGTGATACTACTAACTATAAGACTTATAGACTAATACTCTTTTCTGAATTCACCAATTAAAATTAAGAACTTGTAAAACAAATACAATATAATATAGTTAGTGGTTCCTAGTGCGTATAAATTTTTCTCTATATTGTTTATCAGCAAATCTAAAACTCATAATTTAGGGGCTTCTCTTTAACTAGTTTTTAAGTTAAATTAACAAACAGATGTCAATAAAGAAATTCTAGTTATATATGTAATTAGAAAACCTAATTATGCAGAATTTATGGCACATTCCAAATGGAGAATGAAGATTTATCACAAAATTTTTGACCCAAGGATCCAACAGGTAGTTCCTGGAGTATGTCTACTCCTCCCCACTAACCAAAACCCATGAATACATGCTCAAGTGGGTAGATGAAAAACTAGGTTCTCTCCCTGAATCTAAAAGATAAAAAATGTTAGTTGCTAATGTTGCTGTTTTGTAGTACACATGTATAAATGCATAAAACAAACTAAAGTCTAAATTTACTCTTTAAAAGTGATAAAATGGATAAAATAAACTGTTGACTATTACCTTTACTTTCCTAAACAATGCTCCTTTAAATAGAAGAGTTAAGTTACTGTCATCATGTTAGATTTCTCCACACTGTTCCTCTAGTCAAAGAAGGTGACATAAAGTACAACACAGGAATACACAAAAGTGAAATAGAATGTTTCTTCCTTTCATGGGTAGTATCCAATTTTCCAAAAGTTGAAAAGACTTAATCCAGAAAGCAAATCCTTTTCCAGAGTGAAATAACACCTTTAAGAGTTCTTCAGACGCCCTTGACACACATCAATTATTCTGAAGGGAATATGAGAGCAAATACAATGGTCCGTTTGAACAAAGAAACCTATCAAATCTTTTTCTGGAGCATAAAGGTGCAAATAACAACTCTTAAAGTTATAAATCTGAAGAAAGTGAATTTTATATAGTCGTGAGAATCCTAAGTCTCAAATTACACAAATACAACTTGTACTTATTTCTAATAAGTAAATAACATATAGTAGAAACCATTAATAACAGAATGAAAGCATCATAACTGTGGTTGGAGTGGCTATGGAAAATACTATTCAGAAAGTTATCTAAATTTAGAACTATGTGTTTACTCCTTTACCACAAGGAAATAACAGAGAAAATGAAGCTAAGTGAAATAAAAGTAGACTATTTACCAGATGCCTACTTAAGTGGAAAACCAAAGAATCAACAAGTAACCATTATAAAAATAAGAGAAAACAATCATTAACAAAACTTAACATTTATGTATGTAAAGAATCACTAAATACAAACCTGTCGTCCAACCCTGTCAGGGGGAGGCCACAGGGCATCATCTTCTTTTGTAATTTCACTATCATCAATAATTCTCTTCAGTTCTTCCATTACACTCTTATGTACATATGCCTGAAAATAAATTATAATAAAATTTCACAATGTCCAACTATATCTTTCCATAATTCAACAGGAAATTAAAGAGTTACAAATTCTGAATTTTCAATTAGAACACCACAGAAAAATTTAATTGTGATTCCAAAAGAACAGGATGACAATCATTTACTCTTCTCAAGAATATTATTTTTTTCTTTACTCTCTTGTCCTTTCCTTTAATATTTACTTCTTCCCATCACAGGCCCCTTTAAAATCCTATATTCTTCCTTTGTAACACAGGGTCAAGTACCTCTGAATGGTTAATGGTGACAACACAATATCTAAGGAATAAAAAGACAAATCCAAGTCCACATCACTGTTAGTACTCTGAACTCTTTTCAGACTATGATTACATCATGATTATTTATTTTAAATAATGAACAGAGTAAAAAGACAAAGTTAACTGTAAAATGACTTAAATGATAGATTCAAATATCTCACTATTCAGATTACTTTTGTTTACAATCATATCTAATTGAAATGGAAATTTTTCAAACTATAAATTGGCTTTTTCCTTAAAACATAGTCTTAGATTAACTTTTGTAAATTCAACAAAGAGGAAAATGGACCAAAAGTAAAAAAAAAAAAAAAAAACAAGACACTTGAAAATCTTACCTCTTTCCTGATCATGACATCATTTTTGTAATTGCTATTGTTGGCATATCTAAGCTTTCCTGTGGGGAATAGGAAAAAATTCAATGTATAATAGCAAATAATACTAAAAAATAGAAAATAAAAAAATGACACTGTGATTTTGAAGGGAAAGACCATTTTATACTATCAATTTTACTACTATTTCCTCCTTCATAGTGTAAGATCCATGCTAGTCATAATAATAAATACTTACGGGTAGCCAAATTTTAAAATATTCTGTGCCTTTAATATATAATAGGTCACTTTTAAGGCCTATTTAAAGCCATATCATAAACTAGAAAGAGAATCTGAAAAAACGAACATTTCCTTTAAAGTTTAATGTATCTGTTTTGGTTCTAAGTACTTTGCCCAGAAAATTTAATGCATAAAACAATTCTAAAAAGTTGGTTTTATTCTCTCACCTATTCACAGTTGAGCAAAGTAAGTTGGCCAGGGTCACGCAAGATTATGATCTAAATCTACTTTCCTTAATGCTTTCTCTTATCCACTAAAATGTTCTCTTTTAATTATTTTCCTTCAAATTAATGTGTACATATTTATAGTAATTATTTTAGAATATGAGTAGGGGCTGGGCATACTAGCTCTCTCCTATAATCCCAGAGGCTTAGGAGGCTGAGAAAGGAGGATCCAAGTTCAAAGCCACCTCAGCAACATGGACCTTATCTTAAAATAAAAAATAAAGAGGGCTATGGCTCAGTGGTTAAGCACCCCCAAGGTTCAATTCCTGGTTAAAAAAAAAAAAAAAAAACAGAATTGTAAATAAGATGCACATAAACTATGTGCTGTTCCTCAATAAAACTGATCAGTTTATCAGCTGGTTTATATTTAACTGTAATCCATCACAACTTTTTTACTCTCTACTGCACACAATCCCACATGGCTACTCAGTTGCCCAAGCACAGCTATGATGTGATCCTGACCTCTACAATGACAGGTTAACCTAAAGAGATGTACTATTTGGGAACTGCAATTTTCATGACTCATTATCATAACTAATGTTAAGTAAGTGAAGCTATGTGGTGGCAAACTAAATGAATGAGAATCACTGTTTTAACATGAAATTTCCCTGATAATATTAGGGTGATTAACTTATGTGCCTAGCTAAAAGTGATTTGGACAAGCTATATGGTGTCAATAAAAATCCACGCAGCTGAACTGTCCTACTGCAGGTAGACAGAGTTCAATATACAGTAACATTCTTTAAATATCAAAGACAGTACTGTTGTACACTACAGGCTAATGCTACTCTCCCAGTCGGATTTTTTTCCTCCCCACAGAAGCCAAGAAAATCTCTTATTCCAAAATTCATCTCACGTTGTCTATCTAAGCTTTTTCTCACTCCCTCCGGTAGATCTAACTTCTCCCCATCCCACCCCTCTCTACATTTTTGGTATTCTTAATGCATATGCATGGTGAAAAACTGTATTTAAGTACTTAAAACACGTCCATTTGTTTATATGATGGGCTCCTCTACAAAGACCTTAATACACACCGCCTGAATGAATAAGTAGTCCCATTTTATGCAACCTTGGAACAACACTTGAGGCCGGTTTTCTTAACAATGTTAAAACTTTTAAGTTGATAACGATATGGCTTTTGAAGTCCCTTTTAGTGCGCGGACTGTAGGATTAGAACTAATGTAGGTTCAACTTTTCAATACGTGGCATCGTCCGCTTTTCTGAATTAATTTACAGCAATTAATTCTCTTTTATTCACAAAACAACTTAGGCCTTCTATAGCCTTAAGCGACACACACACACACACACACTTTATTTTTTTTCTTCGCCAGGAGTAGTGGCCATTGTATCCCATTCATGCCCGAGGTTCGCTCACTCTACCCGCCCCGCCTCCTTGTCCGCCTCTCATCCAGATTCCCCTTTCCCACCATTGACCCGGTCCACTGCTCACCGTCCGGCCGAAACTCGAACTCTAGAAACTCATGTCCAAACTTGCCCTTGTGCCCCACGTAGTAGCGCAGGTAGAAATCACTAGCCATAGACATTTTGGTCTCCCGGAAGCCCGCCGAAAGCTTGGCCAACGTGCCGCCTGGCGCTTGTCAGTGACGTCAGTCACACAGATAAGTGCGTCACTGCAGCCGCGTCTCTTCCGCCTCCGGAACTCCGGGAGAAAAGCTTGAAAGAAACCCCTAGCCTGAGAGGCTCTCGAGTGCTGGAGGGAGCTTAGCAGCTGCTAGACCTTCGGTTTACCAAGATCGAAACGCGTTCTTTTCTAAACGAAGTTGAGTACATTACATTAACAAAGAACAGAAGTGTTAAAATGTAATAGCTTTTTTTATGGACTTAGAAGCAAGGTTTATGGAATCGATTTTACTTTTCGGTCCTCCTAATTCTTAAGGCTTCCTCCGTTATGGGTGTGGCTTCTGTGATCTTAAAATAAGCTTTCCAAGAGCCTTTTACTTTTTGGGTCTCACGACCTTTGTGGCATCCTGTGAAGTGAGTGTGACTTTATTTTCCTATAATTGGTGAGATGAGTGAAAATACATTCCAGAAGTAAAGTGACAGAACCAGTCTTTAATAGAACTTTTGAGATATTTAATTCTTTCAATAAGGTTTAATTTGTGGTGGCCCGTGAAATTTTGGCAGTTTGATCTAAGGTCAAATAATGGTTTTGTCCACATTTCTTGCCAGGTATAGTGAAATTGGGGGAAGTGAAAGAATGCTCCAGTGTGGGTTGGTTTTGAGGAATAGGAAAAGACAGTGAATATTTACACTTAATCTTCTCTTCAAATATTATTGATCATCCCTCTGTTACCAATACAGAGAGTAATCCTATCTGATGTCTGACAATCTTCAGTGGAATTTAGTAGAAATTTGGTTGTCAGAAGATGTAGAATTCAATCCCAACACTGTCACTACCTAACCTTGTACAATTCACTAATATCTCTAAGCTTGTTTGATCATCAACCAAATGAATAGCAAACAGCTTTGCCAAGCTCATAGAACTGTTGAGATCAAATGAGATACTTGACAAAGTAAGCTTTGAACTTTGTATAGTTTTAGCAAGTATTCTTTATGTACCAGAAATGAACACTAGTAATAAAAAGGTAGAGGCAATTACACCTGCAAGAAAGCAAACATGTAAAGCAAACAGTACAAAGGAGCAATTGCTGTTATGAAGAATGTATAAAACATGCTGGTATATTACAACAGAAAGAAGGTGCCTTTTATTATAGAGTTTGAAGTTTATAAAATAGGAAGTTATCAAAAGAAGGCTTATGTAGGGAAGTGTTATTTGAATCGGGCCTTGATAAGTTGTGTTTATGTTCAGTCATCTGGAAAAGTATTTCAGGCCTGGCCTAAGCAAAGGCATAGTATTATAAAAGTACATGTTTAGAGAAAGCCAAGAAATGAAATGTAGTTAGGGAACTAACTAGAAAGGTAGGTTGGGCAGGTTATGTGAGTGTATTAATATAAGAAAGTGTTCAGTCCTTAAAACATAAGAAAAATAAAGCATATGCCTTACTAGTAGGGTGACCGTTTGCCCAGGACTGAGGAATGTCCTGGGATTTTGGGTTTTTGTTTTTCAAAACTGGAAGATCCCAGGAAACATGGTATGAATTGGACAGCATTTACCATAAAAATAATTCACAGAAATTTGAGCACAAAATTCCACAGTATCTTTGAAAATATCAGTTATAATCCATTTGGTTGAATTCTGTGAAAAGCCTCATTCAGTATCTTAGATTTTCTAATGTATTTCCTTCAGGTTTTGGCATGTATACCCAGGTTCATCTTCATGTCTGCCTAAATAGATCTATAAACACCAGAATTTGAGGCTATGAAATAGAGGTTATAGGATGCACAAAGTTTTTTTTTAAATATTTATTTTTTAGTTGTAGTTGAACTCAATATCTTTATTTATTTTTTATGTGGTGCTGAGGAGCAATCCCAGGGCCTCACATGTGCTAGGTGAGTGCCCTACCGCTGAGCCACAACCCCAGCCCATAGGATGCACAAAGTTTTAAGATCTTTGTAAGTGGACCAGTTACTGTCTTTATCCCCTAAAAAGTTTAGACCAGTTCTTTATAATCCTGCCTGTTTTTAAAATGAAATATGAAACTATATTAACTCTTCATATTTTAAGCCTAAAATGTACTAAAATAGATACCTCTTGTGATAAATATTACATAGCAATAAAGCATTTGTTTTTTGTGATCTGAGAGGGCATACAACAGTGATATAGAAATATTCTGTATAGTTACTGAGCACTTAAAATGTAGCTAGTGTGAGTAAGGAGCTGAATTATTAACTTTGATAAATTTACATTAGCATGTTTAAATAACCACATATGGCTAGTGGCTACCATGTTACAGTTAGCACAGTTACATAAGAAGCTCTTCATACACTTTTAGTTGGCCTAGAAATAGTTAAAATATTTTGTGAGCTTTTTTCAATCAAAATTGCTATTGGCTCCAAATTAGAGTACAGGTATTCTTATCACCACAGTTTATAAAACTAAATAAATAAATGTTTACGCTGCTTATTTGAAAGCAAAATCCTATTTCTGGGCTGGGGTTGTGGCCCAGCAGTAGAGTGCTCACCTAGCATGTGCAAGGCCTTGGGTTCAATCCTCAGCACCACATAAAAATGAATAAGTAAAACAAAGGTATTATGTCCAACTACAACTAAAAAATAAATTTTTTTTTTTTAAAATACTGTTTCTCAGGGAAGAAGAGCATGAGGAAAAGATTAACATTAAACAGAGACGAGTGGGGGGAGAGAAAGGGAGAGAGAAGGGAAACTATGGAAATGGAAGGAGACCCTCATTGCTACACAAAATTACATATAAGAGTTTGTGAGGGGAAAGGGGAAAAAAAAAAACAAGGGAGAGAATTAAACAACAGCAGATGGGGTAGAGAGGGAAGATGAGAGGGAAGGGGAGGGGGGATAGTAGGGGATAGGAAAGGTAGCAGAATACAACAGTCATTAATATGGTATTATGTAAAAATGTGGATGTGTAACCGATGTGATTCTGCAACTTGTATTTGGGGTAAAAAATGGGAGTTCATAACCCACTTGAATCAAATGTATGGAAGATGATATGTCATGAGCTTTGTAATGTTTTGAACAACCAATAAAAAAAAAATTTAAAAAAAAAATCCTGTTTCTGCCTTTGCTAACACAAATGGTAGTCAACTTCAAAGCACCTTGTGAAATAGTTTTGAAGTAGATAAGAAAGAAACATTCCCAACTCCAACTGAAATTGAGACTTAATGGTTTACTCAAATATACAGTATTTGTTGATAAAATAATGATTTTCCACTAGAATTTTTAAGTTTATTTCTTCCAGCTTTGTGGTAATGCATCAAGTGAGGGGGTTATGATCAGAGATGTTTGTTTCTTACACTTGTTAATTTAATCTTTAAAATGATCTGTTGATTTTTCCTACATCTAAAATTGTCTTTTTCTATGATCTCTTTATGCCTCCTCTGACCTGCCTCTTTTTTTCCTTTTTTGCTTCTCTATTTAAAATGATCAAACCAGTCCAACTACCAATTTTCAGAAGCATATTCTAATAGTATTGAGATAAACACTAGAGATAATAGTCTCATGTTTGTGTGTGTGTGTGTGTGTGTGTTTTCAGTGCTTTTGATTCGCTTTAAGTATTTACAGGAGTTGTCTAGAGCTATCTCAGTTAATAGATAAGAGTACTAAATCAAGAATAAGAGGGCTACGATTACAGTTAAGTAGTAGAGCACTTGCCTAGCTTGCTTCAGACCCTGAGTTCCATCCCCAGCATCATCAAAAAAGAATAAGGGTAGGATGTGCCCTAAAAGAATATATGAGAGTGTTTTTAAAAGAGAGGCTGCAGTGAGGTATTTTGTATCAGTCCTTAATTCCATCCACTCACCTTTCTCTTCTCTTTTCTATAACAGACTTCCATATGAATTTTAGCCATATCTGTCTTTATACCATTTAATGGTATTATTTTTAAATAAGAGAATCATCATCATGTAGAAATGCCAAACTTTATATTCCATTGTTTATCAGATATGTTCATGTTAAAAACTAGATGCTTTTTCTAGATTATCATGACATGATGATATGTATTTAATTCCATAATTAAAACTAGCAATTTTTGGTAACGTATAACAATATTATATGCTTAAACAAGATAACCTCTAACTCATGCCCAACACAAATAAAAACCATTAAATTAAGAATACTAGGCTACCTTATGAGCCTTCCATTATATTTGCTACTTGTTTTTATTTAAATAAGTATGGTAAAGCAAAAAAGAAATCTTTTCAAAATTATAACAAGATTAAGAAAATTCAGTTAACTTACTTTTTATCTTAAGATGGTTGAAAACATCACTATTCATCAATTTTAATAGGATGCCTGAATATTGCATAAAAGCCACTACTGTTCTGCATGAGCGTGATACATTTCCATTAGACAATTTATCTAGGTGTATGTTTGCTCAGTTCCTAACTACTGGAATTTTTTTAATCATAAAGCATAGGTTGGAAAAATAAGGCTGGAGGAGGGGGCAATCTAAACAATAAAAATCTATATATGGATTCAACTTGATTATATGGTAAATATTTTAATTCCATGATTACTTTGGCTGACAGATCAAAGATACCAAAAATATAATCTCAGAAATATAATATTTGTTTTGAAAAAAAAAACCAAACAACTGAAAGAAATTCCCAGTTTTCTTGGAGCCAAAATCACTCTAGCCAGTTTTCCAGGTCTGTATAAAAAAAAAATTAATTTAGAGGTCAACATTTAAAATACCAATTGCTGGGCTGAAATTGTGGCTCAGTGGTAGAGTGCTCGCCTAGCATGCATGAGGCACTGAGTTTGATCCTCAGCACCACATAAAAATAAAATAAAGATGTTGTGTCCACCTAAAACTAAAAATAAATATTTTAAAGAAATACCAATTGTCTGCTTCTTTCCCTTCAACCGAAACAAATACCAAAACATGTCATAAGAAAAAGCAATATCTTTTATTATATGCTATTTTCCCTTTAACACACAAGCTGTAACCCCATGTATATCCTTGCAGTTCCTTAAATAAACAAAATTTATTTGTTGCCTCAGAATTTTCATACATATAATTCTACTCATGAAAAGTTCTTCTCTTTTTTCTGGCTTTCCTACCCAAACCTGAGGTCTCAGTTTAAATGTCATTTCTTCAAAGGAGATCTTTACTTTATACTCCCTTCTCTTGTCCCATACTTTTTCTTCATAGCACCTAATTTGTAATTAGCAGATACCCACTTAACTAAATATATAATGTCTCTTACTTGTAAACTGTAACCAAAAGCTGGTTTTTTCATCTAACACCTAGCCCACTGTCTGTTACAGCGAGGATTAATATTTTTAATAATAGAATAAATAAATACTTTTGTCAATTTGATTTAAATGAACAACTAAAAGTCAAAAACAGTATTCCACATGGTTTTAACATTGTGTGTGAAGCCACTCTACCTCCTTTCTCCCTACTGCCATTTACACCTATTTAAATCCTCTCTACTCACTATGGTATTCCAACAGGGGCAATAGTCATTCTTCATTTAGATGATGCATTCCAACTCCATCAGGATTCCATTTTCTACAATATTTTCAACTACCAATTATCTTTCCTACAGCAATCTTAGATTTCCTTTCTAGGGTACTCAGATTTTAAAGTCACAGATCACCAAGTTCAACAGAATATCATTGTGATATTTTCAATATTCTGAAATACTAGAGAATTACTATCATCACCCAAAAGCTCAAATAAAAGTGATGACTTCTTGATTAGAAGTTTGTTGGACTAGACAAGGGGAATTAAGGGAAGGGAGGAAGGATGAGAATAAGGAAAGACAATATAATGAATTGGATATATATTTCCTATCCGCATATATGAATATACAACCAAAGTAACTCCACATCATGGGCAACCACAATAATGGGATCCTAACTGGAATAAGTTATATTCATTCTGTATATGTATAACATTTCAAAATATACTCTACAGTCATGTAAAAATTTTTAAGATAAAAGTGATGACTTCTTGTTTTTTTTTTTTAGAGAGAGAGAGAGAGAATTTTTTAATATTTATTTTTCAGTTCTCGGTGGACACAACTTTTTTTTTTTTAATGTGGTGCTGAGGATCAAACCCAGTGCCCCGCGCATGCCAGGTGAGCGCGTTACCGCTTGAGCCACATCCCCAGCCCAACTTCTTGTTTTTAACCATGTGGTGTACATGGTACAAGTATATCATGCCATTATCTTTAGGCATGTCCTGCTCTGCAGTATCACAGATTGAGGTTCTCTTCTTGGCCACAGTAGATTTTAGGTTAAAAAAAATATGAAAGTTCCTAGGTTAGGAAAGGCAAAATAAAGGAAACTATATTTATTAAGCGCATACATATACCAGATACTGTACAAATACTTATTGATCCTCATCACAATGCAGCGAGATAGTCTTCCCATTTTACATGCAAAAAAAATCTTTTTCTGACATTGTAGGTTGTCGCTTAAATTTTCCTATTAACATGAATTTCCAGTTATTTGCTTCTATCTTCCCTATTTTAGAAAATTTGGTAGCTATATATCAGAAAAGCCTACTTCCACTCAATAAATATTAATTTAATGAAATAAGTTTCACAGTAAATCAATGGATCTTGAAAATTAAAAGTTAACCATCCTGTATCAGATCACATTCTTGACTAGCCCGTTTTAATGACCATCTGAGCTACTAAGACTTCTTGCTTGGTTTCTACCTTTGTTATCACACACACACACACACACACACACACACACAACATTACCATCATTCATCTCACTTTGATTTTCTAGGTTTACTGTCCTTAGTCTTGTGGAGAATGGAAAATAAACCTGATGAACAATACTTGTTGGATGTTCTTAATCATAGAACAATTCCTCCAGCTTCTGATCAAAAGTAGTACCCAAACAGGGTTTACTTGACTCAGAATTAGATAAAAAGGGTACTATTTTTCTTATATCTATACTCAAGGAGAACTCAGAATCTTTCCTTCAAAGTTCTTCAACTCTTCATGTAAGGACCAGGAGTGGGAAATTTTATGTCCCCTCAAGCTTCCCTTTGAAGGAGATTTTGGTCCACAGCTATACTCTTGAGCAAATAAAAATCTTAAATCTCCTCATCACCTCCTTTATTAGATTTCTATTTCTTCATTTCATTCCTAGTTTCTTTGAACCTTGTAATAGTAGATAAAAATATTGTTAAGGAGTAAGCAAGCCTAGGATGAGAAGGACTAGCCTATTTGTGCTATACCCCAACAAACACTGAAGTTTTTTTTTTGTTTTTTTAAGTTGCAGATTTTTCAAGCCTCCTTTGCATTGACACATTCTCCACTTCTACCCAGGGTTTTTAGGACTGAGATAGAAAAAAATGAGACTGACAGTATTTCTCAGTTCAAGGGTATGTGGTGTGAAGAGCATCAACCAGCATCACTTCACATTTCTAGCAATATATGTAGGGAAATAACTAGGATCTATGTCCTTTATCTCCCTTTCCCACTAGAGTGTTCTTGGAGGAATTGGTTTCAAGAAAATAGAATCACATATAAATGTATCCAGCTGGAAGCCTTCAAAGGATGCTGTAGCTATAGGAAAGGCTTTCTATACTGATACCAGCCACAGATGCATATAGTTCAGGCACCACCAACTCTGGTACTTGCAGAACAGTCTTGTCATCAGCAGTTCTAGCAGCACCTTCTAGGCGAAAGCGCAGCTCTCTGGGTGAGGGACGAGTGTCCTCACTCCAACGCCAACAGGACTTCATAATATTGTACCTGAGAAGGAGACAAGAGAAACAGGCAAATGTATAAGAAACATGTCTCGCCAGGCATGGTGGCACACTCCAGGCAATGTGGCACACTCCCGCAGCTTGGGAGGTGGAGGCAGGAGGGTCATGAGTTCAAAGCCATCTTCAGCAAAATCGAGGTGCTAAGCAACTCAGTGAGACCCTGTCACTAAATAAAATACAAAATAGGCCTGGGGCTGGGGCTCAGTGGTCGAGTGCCCCTGAGTTCAATCCCTAGTACCAAAAATAAAAAAAGAAAAAAGAAAGAAACATGTCTCCTCTCTCAACATATCTTAACACACACACATACACCCCAAAAAACAAAGAAACCCTGCTATTCTTTGCCCTGTCTCATTCCCAGAGACCGATAATTATTTTCATTTTTTTAATGTCAAGTATCTTAATGTCCTCTTCTCATTGGGACTTCTTTTGTTTCTTTCCATGTTTTTTTCATTGGTGCCTGGAACTTCTTTTATAATAGAAAAGACTAAAGATTTTTCAAACTACAGAGTATGATGGGACAGTTTTTTTCATTGTTCATTGTATATTGTAAATAGTGCACACTAAATGAATGGCTAGAACAAAACAGTTTTTTTTTTACTCTGTAACATGGGGTGGAAGTTTTAATTATTGTACTATATTGCTGCATACTTTATGTTGATCTTTATGTTATTTCAGATATTCATCAAAATGTTATGTTTAAGGTAAGATACTTTGTCAGTTAAATGTTTCCGCTAGTATCAAGGACAACCCTTTACACACAGAAACCTACAGGAAATATTTGGCAGCAGTTTCATTATAGATACCCAGCTAGCATTACTATACTGTGCATATGTGTATATAGTTAAGACATTTAAACTTTATAATCTGCTTCATAGAGTAATTATTTAGAGCTTAAAAATTTTACAAATAATAATCTACTAGAAATGTTCACTAACATGTTATGTCTGCCATCTTCTTAAACATAGTTTAACTTTTTCTTATGTTCCATAATAGTCCCCTTTTGAACTTCATTAATAAAAATATTCTGCACGTAATTTTAAATTTTCTTATTTTATGCCTTCAGAGTGGTTTGCCAGTGGTTCCTTTCTGCTGAGAATATTGGATCTTCCTTCTGCCTTTGTAATTTCTACTATCTTCCCTTTTTCAGGTTAGTTCTATCATACTGAGAGCTGAGAAAACAGCAGTAGTTTTTAAAAGTTAAATATGAATAAGAGCCAGTAAACTCTGAATGAATAAATCTAGTACAATTGATTTTATGAGAGCTATCTTTGAACTGAGGCTGGAAGACGATTGGTATTTACACAAAGCAATAATGTACTTACATTTCATTTAGTCTATTTCCTGCCTATTTTAGGAGATCCCTACAGAATTAAACAAACTTTATCAAATTAGATTCCTAATATAGTTCTGGTTTTGCCTCAATATTTTGTGTATGATAATGTGAGTGTATACACACACATACATGATATGTATGCATACATGATATATTAGCAAATGTGTTTTACCTCATGGGTTTTGTCTAAGTCCATGCATTAGCACCTAAAGACAACTGAGGATCATCTGAGCCACTTTGAAAAGAGAGTGATTGATAGGAAGCAAAAAATATTTATAATTAGAGAAAAGCAGACCTTCAAAATTCACTTACATAGTATGTGTGCAGCTACTGGGTCTCTTCATGATTTTTCTTCTCTGAAGATACTGTAGAATGCTGGTAGGAGGGACTTCAGGATATGGTGGTGCCCCTGTCAATATGGAAAGAATGAGAGTAGCAAGAGAACTTTAGTGTCATAAAATATGAACTTCAAATAACATTACTCTTAATCTACTTGGGCTAATTGTTAGCAAAAGATAAATCCATAGGGAAAATACTAGATACAAGAGAGTTGTCCCCTGCTATTCTAGTAAGGATGTAGCATAGTGAATTTGGGGAAAAGAGAATCTTGAGTCTTTAGGAAAGTAATAAAATAATGCAAAGTAAGAAATAAGACCTTTCCTCCACTCTTCATAACATGGAAAGGTGCTGTAGTTTCTTAGTTGAATCGATTAATAAGTCTGAAGAAAACATGTTTACACAAGACCAGTGTGGGAATTATCCTTTGGATAAGAAAAAATCTCTTGGAGTTAACATTGCTGGATTGAAAGAAAGAAAGAGAGCAAAAGAAAGTTAAGAGAAGGGAAGGGAGGGAAGGAGTAGAGTAAGAGGGAATCATCACTTCTTCTCAGGAATCAGGCTTGGAAGTCATATCAACCCATTTAATCTTCAGGCCTGTTCTAAAACACTTTCTCAAAAAAAAAAAAAAAATCAACCCCCAAATAAACATACTTGCATATTTGCATCCAGCCACACACTATTGGAGATCATGCTTACCTAGAGTCACCATCTCATAAAGCAGGATCCCAAAGGACCAGCTGTAAAAGAAATAAAACCCTCTACTTAACTTCTATTTTTTCTTTCCTAGAGCGCTCACTTAAATATAGAAACCTTCAGTAACAGTACCATAAAGAAGGTAATAAAGAAGAATGAAGGGGTATCTGATAAAATAAGCAAAGTAATAATGCATTCCTGGCTAGGTGCAGTGGCTCATACCTATAATCCCAGACGAAGGATGATTGCAAGCTCAAGGCCATCCTGGGCAATTTAATGAGACCTTGCCTCAAATAAAAATAAAAAACAAAAAGGCTAGGGTATGTAGCTCAGTTGTAGAGTGCCCTGGGTGCCACAGACAAAGGAAAAAAGAGAAACATTTCTGTACAATTCCCTTAGATTCTAATTTCTTTGAAGATTGGATGTATATTTATTCTATATTTAACATGAATAGATGTTTACTATTATTTGTGTGTGTGTGCACGCGCACAATCACATAAATCCACTCACCCATAGGGAAATTTCTTTTGCATCTTTTTTCATTCTTTTTTTTTTGGCTTTTCTGTAGTATTTATTTTTTGTGCATTTTAATTGTTGAAGTCATTATTAGTATTATATCTCCCCAGTAAGACTATACACTCTTTGAACACAGAGACATATTTGATGTTTCCACTCCCCTTTCCATCCAAATGTGTAACATATTAATGAACACAGAATGTATATCCAGTACTTATAAATTGTATTGATTACCCTCAAGTTTTTAATGCAACTAAGAGACATGACTTTACAAGAAAACATCTAAATCTATATGAGTCATATCTATAATAAAAATATATGGATAATTCCATTTTTATTAAACTATTTTCAATGTTTAATTTTTTTTTAATTTTTTATTGTTGGTTGTTCAAAACATTACAAATTTCTTGACATATCATATTCCACACTTTGATTCAAGTGGGTTATGAACTCCCACCTTCACCCCATACACAGATTGCAGAATCACATCAGTTACACATCCATTGATTTACATATTGCCATACTAGTGTCTGTTGTGCTCCGATGCCTTTCCCATCCTCCACCATCCCCCCTCCGCACCTCTCTCCTCCCCTCGCCTCCTCTCTCTCTACCCCCTCCACTGTATAACCCTGAGGGTCTCCTTCCATTTCCAAGCAATTTCCCTACTCTCTCCCTTTCCCTCCCACCTCTCATCCCTGTTAAATGTTAATCTTCTTCTCATGCTCTTCGTCCCTACTCTGTTCTTAGTTACTCTCCTTATATCAAAGAAGACATTTGGCATTTGTTTTTTAGGGATTGGCTAGCTTCACTTAGCATAATCTGCTCTAATGCCATCCATTTCCCTGCAAATTCTATGATTTTGTCATTTTTTAATGCAGAGTAATACTCCATTGTGTATAAATGCCACAGTTTTTTTTTATCCATTTGTCTATTGAAGGGCATCTAGGTTGGTTCCACAGTCTTGCTATTGTGAATTGTGCTGCTATGAACATCGATGTAGCAGTGTCCCTGTAGCATGCTCTTTCTAGGTCTTTAGGGAATAGACCAAGAAGGGGAATAGCTGGGTCAAATGGTGGCTCCATTCCCAGCTTTCCAAGAAATCTCCATACTGCTTTCCAAATTGGCTGCACCAATTTGCAGTCCCACCAGCAATGTACAAGTGTACCCTTTTCCCCACATCCTCGCCAGCGCTTGTTGTTGTTTGACTTCATAATGGCTGCCAATCTTACTGGAGTGAGATGGTATCTTAGGGTGGTTTTGATTTGCATTTCTCTGACAGCTAGAGATGGTGAGCATTTTTTCATGTACTTGTTGATTGACTGTATGTCCTCCTCTGAGAAGTGTCTGTTCAGGTCCTTGGCCCATTTGTTGATTGGGTTGTTTGTTCTCTTATTGTCTAATTTTTGGAGTTCTTTGTATACTCTGGATATTAGGGCTCTATCTGAAGTGTGAGGAGTAAAGATTTGTTCCCAGGGTGTAGGCTCCCTATTTACCTCTCTAATTGTTTCTTTTGCTGAGAAAAAACTTTTTAGTTTGAGTAAGTCCCATTTGTTGATTCTAGTTATTAACTTTTGTGCTATGGGTGTCCTATTGAGGAATTTGGAGCCCGACCCCACCGACTGTAGATCGTAGCCAACTTTTTCTTCTATCAGACAGCGTGTCTCTGATTTGATATCAAGCTCCTTGATCCATTTTGAATTCACTTTTGTGCATGGCGAGAGAAAGGGATTCAGTTTCATTTTGTTGCATATGGATTTCCAGTTTTCCCAGCACCATTTGTTGAAGATGCTATCCTTCCTCCATTGCACGCTTTTAGCCCCTTTATCAAATATAAGATAGTTGTAGTTTTGTGGATTGGTTTCTGTGTCCTCTATTCTGTACCATTGGTCCACCCGCCTGTTTTGGTACCAGTACCATGCTGTTTTTGTTACTATTGCTCTGTAGTATAGTTTGAAGTCTGGTATCGCTATACTGCCTGATTCACACTTCCTGCTTAGCATTGTTTTTGCTATTCTGGGTCTTTTATTTTTCCATATGAATTTCATGATTGCTTTCTCTATTTCTACAAGAAATGCCATTGGGATTTTGATTGGCATTGCATTAAACCTATAGAGAACTTTTGGTAATATCGCCATTTTGATGATGTTGGTTCTGCCTATCCATGAACAGGGTATATTTTTCCATCTTCTAAGATCTTCTATTTCTCTCTTTAGGGTTCTGTAGTTTTCACTGTATAAGTCTTTCACCTCTTTTGTTAGGTTGATCCCAAGTACTTTATTTTTTTTGAAGATATTGTGAATGGAGTGGTTGTCCTCATTTCCATTTCAGAGGATTTGTCGCTGATATACAGGAATGCCTTTGATTTATGCGTATTGATTTTATATCCTGCCACTTTGCTGAATTCATTTATTAGCTCTAATAGTTTCTTTGTAGAGCCTTTTGGGTCTGCTAGGTAAAGAATCATATCATCTGCAAATAGTGATAATTTAAGTTCTTCTTTTCCTATTTTTATGCCTTTAATTTCTTTCGTCTGTCTAATTGCTCTGGCCAGTGTTTCGAGAACTATGTTGAACACAAGTGGAGAGAGAGGGCATCCCTGTCTTGTTCCAGATTTTAGAGGGAATGCCTTCAGTTTTTCTCCATTCAGAATGATGCTAGCCTGAGGCTTAGCATAGATTGCTTTTACAATATTGAGGTATGTTCCTGTTATCCCTAGTTTTTCTAGAGTTTTGAACATAAAGGGATGCTGTACTTTGTCGAATGCTTTTTCCGCATCTATCGAGATGATCATATGGTTCTTATTTTTAAGTCTATTGATGTGGTGAATAACATTTATTGATTTCCGTATATTGAACCAGCCTTGCATCCCAGGGATGAATCCTACTTGATCATGGTGTACAATTTTTTTGATATGTTTTTGTATCCGATTCGCCAGAATTTTATTGAGGATTTTTGCATCTAGGTTCATTAGAGATATTGGTCTGTAGTTTTCTTTCTTTGAAGTGTCTTTGTCTGGTTTAGGTATCAGGGTGATGTTGGCCTCATAGAATGAATTTGGAAGTTCTCCCTCTTTTTCTATTTCCTGAAGTAGCTTGAAAAGTATTGGTATTAGTTCTTCTTTAAAGGTTTTGTAAAACTCTGCTGTATACCCATCCGGTCCTGGGCTTTTCTTAGTTGGTAGTCTTTTTATGGTTTCTTCTATTTCCTCAATTGATATTGGTCTGTTTAGGTTGTCTATATCCTCCTGACTCAATCTGGGCAGATCATATGTCTTAAGAAATTTATCTATGCCTTCACTATCTTCTAATTTATTGGAGTATAAGGATTCAAAATAGTTTTTGATTATCTTCTGTATTTCTGAAGTGTCTGTTGTGATATTGCCTTTTTCATCCCGTATGCTAGTAATTTGAGTTCTCTCTCTTCTTCTCTTTGCTAGCATGGCTAAGGGTCTGTCGATTTTGTTTATTTTTTCAAAGAACCAACTTTTAGTTTTGTCAATTTTTTCAATTGTTTCTTTTGTTTCGATTTCATTAATTTCAGCTCTGATTTTCATTATTTCTTGCCTTCTACTTCTTTTGCTGTTGTTTTGCTCTTCTTTTTCAAGGATTTTGAGATGAAGTATGAGATCATTTATTTGTTGGTTTTTTCTTTTTTTAAGGAATGAACTCCAAGCAATGAATTTTCCTCTTAGAACTGCTTTCAATGTGTCCCATAGATTCCGATATGTTGTGTCTGTGTTTTCATTTATCTCTAAGAATTTTTTAATTTCCTCCTTGATGTCTTCTATAACCCATTGATCATTCAGTAACCTATTGTTCATTCTCCAAGTGATGTATGCTTTTTCCTTCCTTCTTTTATCGTTGATTTTCAGTTTCATTCCATTATGATCAGATAAGATGCATGGTATTATCTCTACTCCTTTATATTGTCTGAGAGTTGCCCTGTGACATAATATATGATCTATTTTTGAGAAGGATCCATGTGCTGCTGAGAAAAAAGTGTAACTGCTTGATGTTGGGTGGTATATTCTATATATGTCAATTAGGTCTAGGTTATTAATACTGTTATTGAGTTCTATAGTTTCCTTATTCAACTTTTGTTTGGAAGATCTGTCCAGTGGCGAGAGAGGTGTGTTGAAGTCTCCCATGATTATGGTATGGTGGTCTATTAGACTCTTGAACTTGAGAAGAGTTTGTTTGACGAACATAGCTGCACCATTGTTTGGGGCATAAATATTTATGATTGTTATGTCTTGTTGGTGTATGGTTCCCTTAAGCAGTATGTAGTGTCCCTCTTTATCCCTTTTGATTAACTTTGGCTTGAAATCTATTTCATTTGATATGAGTATGGACACTCCTGCTTGTTTCCGAAGTCCATATGAGTGATATGATTTTTCCCAACCTTTCACCTTCAGCCTATGTATGTCTTTTCCTATCAAATGCGTCTCCTGTAGGCAGCATATTGTTGGGTCTTGTTTTGTGATCCATTCTACTAGCCTGTGTCTCTTAATTGGTGAGTTTAAGCCATTAACATTTAGGGTTATTATTGAGATATGGGTTGTTCTTCCAGCCATATTTGTTTATTTCTGTTACTAAACATGGTTTGTTTTCCTCTTTGATTATTTTCCCCCCCTTTACTGTCCTACCTCCCACTGTTGGTTTTCATTGTTATTTTCCATTTCCTCTTCCTGTAATGCTTTGGCGAGGATGTTTTGAAGAGATGGTTTTCTAGCTGCGAATTCTTTAAACTTTTGTTTATCGTGGAAGGTTTTAATTTCATCTTCCATCCTGAAGCTTAATTTCGCTGGATACACAATTCTTGGTTGGAACCCATTTTCTTTCAGTGTTTGAAATATGTTATTCCAGGATCTTCTAGCTTTCAGAGTCTGTGTTGAAAGATCAGCTGTTATCCTGATTGGCTTACCCCTAAATGTAATCTGCTTCCTTTCTCTTGTAGCTTTTAAAATTCTCTCCTTATTCTGTATGTTGGGCATCTTCATTATAATGTGTCTAGGTGTGGATCTCTTATGATTTTGCACATTCGGCGTCCTGTAGGCTTCTAGGATTTGGGATTCTGTCTCAGTCTTCAAGTCTGGGAAGTTTTCTCGTATTATTTCATTGAATAGACTGCTCATTCCTTTGGTTTGGAGCTCTGTACCTTCCTGTATCCCAATGTCCCAATGACTCTTAAGTTTGGTCTCTTAATGTTATCCCATATTTCTTGGATGTTCTGCTCATGGTTTCTTAACAGTCTTGCTGAGCTGTCTATGTTCTTTTCCAGTTGAAATACTTTGTCTTCATTGTCTGATGTTCTATCTTCTAAGTGTTCTACTCTGCTGGTAGTATTCTCCATTGAGTTTTTAAGTTGGTTTATTGCTTCCTGCATTTCTAGGATTTCTGTTTGTTTGTTTTTTATAACCTCTATCTCCCTGTAAAGTTGATCCTTTGCTTCCTGGATTTGTTTGCGTAATTCATTGTCGAAGTGATCTTTCATTGTCTGATTTTGCTGTCTAATGTCTTCCTTGATACTCCAGATCATCTGAAGCATGTATATCCTGAATTCTTTATCTGACATTCCATCTGCTGCAGCTGTTACCTCTTCTAAAGTTGCGTTGACCTGCAATGCTTGTGGTCCTTTCTTTCCTTGTCTTTTCATACTGCTTGCGTTTCTTTCCTGCAGGCGCGGGCGGCGGCTCTGCTCTCTCCTTATTCCAATTGGGGTGTCGTGACTACCATGCCGGCAGGTCACTGGGCCTGTTCTGGGTGCTGGCGGCGGCTCTGTTCTGCCCCTACTCCAATTGGGGTGACGAGTGTACCACGCCAGCAGGCCACCGGGCCTGATCCACCGGTCGGTTGCAGGTTTGCCTACCCTGCAGGCGCGGGCGGCGGCTCTACTCTGCCCCTACTCCAAATGGGGTGACGTGTCTGTCGTACTGGCAGGCCACTGGGCCTATCCCGCTGGTCGGTCGCGGGTCTGCCCACCTTGCGGGTGCGGGTGGCGGCTCCGCTCCGCCCCCTCTCCAATTGGGGTCACGCGGTCACCATGCCGGCGAGCCACTGGGCCTGCTCAGGGCGCTGGCAGCGGCCTGGCTCCTCCCCTCTGGCTCGACGACAAATCGAGAGAGACTCGGGTGTCTGTGCCTCACCCCCCCTACCAGGAGACCAACTGTTTCTGTCACCGCTGGTATTGATGAAGTTCTCTCCTCCGCCGCTTTCTGATGACATCAGATCTCTGCCATGTTGGTATCCTATGCAAATGGCAGCATTTCGTTCCCCTTGCCGGGCAACCAAGGCAACGGGTGAGTCCTGACCGGCCCTCAGCAGGACCCGGACCGAGAAGCAGTTTCCGCGGGCTCCTAGCCCTGGGCCAGGGCGGATCCGGGAGCCGTAACTTGGCCGCCCCGCGCTCGCGCTCGGTGCTCGCTCCGATAAGAGCAGGCACTAGGAAGCACCCAGGCACTGAGCCCAAGCAATCTGTCTGCAAGCCACAGGCGAATGGCAGCCTGAAATTACCTGTTCTATGGCTGAATGAGCTGCGGTCAGTCGAAAACAGGGATGGTGACGTCAGCTTTCCAACATGGTGGCTGCTGGCCTCCTCTGTGGTCTGACCTGTGTGGAGAACCGAGATGGACCGCTTCCTTCCCCCGTCTCGAACCCAGAATTCAGCCCTGAGTACAGTGCTTGCACGGCTGGCAGAAACTGCAGCGCTATATCCCTGCGTCGCTATCTCCTCATTTCCCAGCGCGCGCTCCAGACTCTAGCCGCGGGGCGATTTGCTGAATAAGCATTGTTACCCTCCGTGGGACAAACCTCTCGCGTTTGAGTCCCCGTAGCCGATCCTCGTGCGATGGAAATCCTTCCTCCAGGTTCCGGAGCACCCCACTATTGCTGGAAATTCCTAACAAGATAGCCTTTAGCCGTCCTGACTTGTCATACTCCCATACAGTGAAGCAGCACACGGGGGCAATGCACTCCCCTCGCCGCCATCTTCCTTTTTTCATTCTTTCCACCCCTTTCTGCTAAGGTTTTAGTCTTGTTCTTAGCACAAGCCAAACAAAGTTATCATATATCCTCTATGTACTCAGTAAATCTAATTGCCCAAAACTAGGAAAAATATTAACAGAGCAAGCTTTATATGTTGTTGGAATGAGTATTTGCTTAAGCAATATGATTTGAAAGATGTATATAATACTATAGTAAAAATCATTAAATGAGTAATTTTTATGACTAATTGTTAGTCATAAAATAGATACATTACAACATGTATCTATTGAAAAACAGATATTAGTAAAACACTGATGGAAGTTTTTAACCAAAATCATATTAACTAATGTACTAAATTTCCTCTACCACTCATGACACTCATAGCTATTAGGATACTCTACATTCCATCTCTGAGCTTCTTCAAGCACTTGAGTTATATGGTTACCAAAAATAGTCAATTGTGATTCTTTACAAGCCTGTTTACACCAATTGTACATGTAACTGTAATTGTGTATTATTATATAAGCAAATAAATACTATAAAAGATGATTGAATATAAATATTATCTCTGTGAAAAGTAAGTTGAATGCCTTGAAAACAATCTATAAAAGTATACTACTAAAAAGAAAGCGTTATGATGAGATGAGGGTCATACAAAGTTGTGGTGAATAAGAAGCACTAACCTCCCACTATTTGATCCTGTCCCTGCCCTATCTTTGACAAGGGGGACTCCAGCTCTGGTACATGTGACCTCCTGGCATTTCCTGGAATTTGCCTGTCTTATCCAAATCTCTAATGAATGACTTGTACAAGAATCTGTCTGTGCCTTATGAAAATCTCTCTGTAAACCAGGTGCAGTGGTGCACACCTATAATCCCAGCAACTCAGGAGACTGAGGCAGGAAGATGAAGTTCAAAGCCAGCCTCAGCAACAGTGAGGTACTAAGCAATTTAGTAAGACCCTGTCTCCAAATAAAGTACAAAATAGGGTGGAGGATGTGGCTTAGTGGTTGAGTGCCCCTGAGTTCAATCCCCGGTAACCTCCCCCAAACAAAGAAGGAGAAAAATGTAAAATTGTGTGGGTGAGAACAGTAGAAAATTAAAATAATAATAATAACAAGTATGCAGTCAAATTGTTATGCAAATGTTTTTAAGTTTCTCACTGCACTTAGAACCATCCCAAATTGGAACCCAAAGTTAGTCATTAGAGGTGCTATTTAGACAAGAAACAGGACATATGACTTCATTTAGAAGCCCCGTTCTCCCATAATGCAGCTTTTCCCCTTCTTCAAAAGATTTATAAATAAATTGTAATGCTTTCATATGTAACAAATTAGAATAAAAAGATTTTTTTTAAATTGATAAAGAAATACACATGTATATGTTTTAAGTTAAAATTAAGAATTGTGGGGCTGGGGATGTGGCTCAAGTGGTAGCGCGCTTGCCTGGCATGCGTGCCACCCGGGTTCGATCCTCAGCACCACATACAAACAAAGATGTGTCCGCTGAAAACTAAAAAATAAATATTAAAAAAATTCTCTCTCTGTCTCTCTCTCTCTCTCTCTCTCTCAAAAAAAAAAAAAAAGAATTGTGGTCTGAGTATTTTTACTTTAGGGATTCTTTACTTAACTAGTCTTCTGATTAAGTGGGCTCACACCCTTCAGGTTTAAAGCAAAACTACTAGATTAAGTCCTCAGATATTGGTGTGAGTAATCTTTGCAATTTTTTTCTTTCCTAATGTAAGCTTCTAATCCAATACAGAAAGAATGCTTGAAAAAGCATTCAAAGGGGATTTCAAGCAGAGACCAAACATGTACTCTGTATCATAACATTTCTTCTTGAGAGTATTTCTGACTTCTGAGTATAGATCTCATTTGTAGACATACTTGATAATACACCCAATAATAATCAGGGAGAACACTCAGGTCATGAAGAGAATATATCCAAAGGGTAGGAACAAACCGTACATGTCTCCTCTGATGCCAGCAGGTCTCAGGAGAAGCCGTTCTGGGGCAAGCCACTTGAGAGGGATGGTCCGAGCAGAAGAGATGGCTCCAAGGGCATGAACTTCATAAGCCAAGCCCAATCCACAGAGTTTAGCAGTCAGATCACTTTGGATCAGGATATTCCTGGCTGCCACATCCCCATGGAACAGATGCTTATCCTGCAGAAATTCCTGACAGCATAGGTCAAAGATAATCAGCTATCTGAAGGTCACTGCTCAGCTTGCAGATAAGAGACATACTAGGAAGCCTCAAAAAGATAAGGGCACTTCCTACTCTAAACAAGTCTCATTATAATGACATCACTTCCAAAGCATGCTAATGGATCAGATATTTTACCTTATGTTTAAGATGACCAAACTGAGCAAATAATCCAAACGACATTAATGCTGGATTTATTTACTTATTTAGATTTTTTTTAAAAGAGAGAGTGAGAGAGAGAGAATTTTTTAATATTTATTTTTTTTTTTTTTTTAGTTCTTGGCGGACACAACATCTTTGTTTGTATGTGGTGCTGAGGATCGAACCCAGGCCGCACACATGCCAGGTGAGCGCGCTACCTCTTGAGCCACATCCCCAGCCCACTTATTTAGTTTTATAGTGCTGAGAATCAAACCCAGAGTCTCATGCATGCAAGGCAAGTGCTGCTACACCCTCATCCCTAATAAAGGATTTTGAAAGTATTAATTCCAAATTCCATCTGCAATAAAATGACTCCCTTTCTGTTAAAATATTTCAACGTCTTATATGTATTCTTTATTCTTTATTCTTTATTCAGCAATTGCTCCTTTTCGCTGATGTTTGCATTACATGTTTGCTTTTTTTTTTAGAATACAGGTGCAAATACCTTTTTATTTCTACTGTCCAACTGTTTCTAGCACATAAGAAATGCTTGTTAAAACCCATGTCATATCAAATTCAAAACTTACTTTATATACTTTATCTCCTTTGACCTTCCAAACAGTTTTGTGAGCTTAGCCAACCTGATTGCTATTTATCTATTTGGTTGATGATCAAACAGGCTTAGAGATAGTGACTTGTCCAAGGTTAGGTAGTGATAGTGTTGGGATTTAGTACCACATCATCTGACTACCACTTTCTAGTAAGTCCCACTGAAGATTAGTTGTCATCTACCAGATATGAACCCAGTTAGATATTAGAAAGGGAATAGATTTCATAGCAAAATTGAGTATCATATTATTGAATTTATGTAAAATTTTATTGTCTCCCTAAAATAACTGGATTAACTGATTTAGGGGAGTATCTTTTGGATAAATTTAAATGACTACACAAAACTACAGAGTAACTAAGTGATAGTAACTAGAGTAAGGTATTCTAATTCACAGAAAATACAACAAAAACTCTACTAATAATTCTATTTTTTATTTAATGACCCATTTTAGTTTTTATTCTACTAATAGTTCTTGAGTCAAGTTCCAAATTAGAATTGTCAGAAAGCTTTTTTAAAACATAAGATTTTCACCCTGAATTCACTAAACCATAATTTAGGACAAGAAATCTGATAACCTATATTGTAAAGAAGTATCAAAATTATTCTAGTGCAGACTTTAAATCATGTGACTAATGGCCTAGGTTTGCTGGGATCTTTTCTCCTCCGGTACAAATCTACTCAAAGTCGATGGAGAAATCAAGAAATTGTACATGGCTAAAAAGATAGAGGTTCCAAATTATGATTGCTAAACAAGGATAGTATAAAAATTTTAAAGAGTGAGCTGTAATTTCCAATTGTTGATGAAGAAGCAAAAAGTGATGACTATTTCTCTCTCATGAGGTTTTAGAACAAAAAAAAATTATATGGTCATGAGAAGAATTAAGGAACGTGTTGACTTTGGGTTTGTTAAAAGTAACAACAAATAGTATGATATTGCCTGTTATAGGTAATACAGGGCCCTGATGAATGCATTGGTTTCATCAATTAGCCTCATAAGGCACCTCAACAATTAAGGATCACAAGCAAGGTAGACTGTAGTCTGACATCCTAACTTTACCAAGGGATCATACCAGCTAAGTGCTCCATACGCTGAAGATAATATTAAATATATGGTGTGTACCCATCCTGTCCATTGGGAGCTTCAGATACAACTCTTGCTCTTTTCTCACCTTCCCAACTTCTTTATTTCCTTCACTTCCTCCTAATTCTGCTTAGATCCCTGGTATATTTCACACATTAGGGTGGCAAGATATATCAAAGAGTTAAAAATGGTAGCTTCACAGAACCTGTAGCAAGTGCTAATTTTAAACACAATTATCTGAGTGATTTCATAGCGTAATCTAAATTTCCTGAATGATTCACATAAAGATAAATATTTCTCTTAAACTCAGAGTTCTAAAACCTTTTTATTTAGGTTGTTTTAAAATAAAAGAGTGATTCTACTGTCTCCCCTTCACATTTTTCCTCTTTCACTTGTTTCTTATTCTTTTTTAAGTATGTGCACTCCCTATCACATTTATTATCAAATCAAGTTTCCAACAAAACATGTTCCAAACCAGTTTGTCTTGTTTTCCAGATATAAATTTGTACACTTCTGGCTCTGTAGCCTTTCATCCATTCAGTTTCTCTTCCCATATCTTCTCCCAACTTGCTCCCCAAATTTCCCCTTTCATATTAGTTCTTAAAAGTATACATAGATAAATAAGAGTATAAAGCAAATGGGCATATAGCTCTTGGCACTGTCTTTTGAATGTTAAGATTGAGTGAACTTTTAAAATCTTCCCTGTTCCTTCCAGAAATCCTAAGCTGACTACCTCCTCCCTGGAAATACCAATCCTGTAGTAGATTATCTAAATGATTTCACAAAGAAGGAACTAAAATTAATTATCAGTGTACGACTATCTGCCCCTGATCTCTAATTTAAAATATATGCCCCATTTGGGAATCTGAACATGGGAACAATGACACCAAATACTAGGCTAATGAGAAAAATCCCCACCCTTGGTTTTTATTTTGCCTAGTCTTACCAGACCCAAAAGGACCTGCTTTCCAATGTGATAGACTTGCTTTTCTGTGAGATCATAGAGAAGACCATCCATGGTCATCACATCCTAAAGAGAAAGAGAAAAAACATTATATCAAAGTGGCATTAACACATTTGATTTTTTAAAAAGTACAATAGATATAATCTGAAATGCAAATATATGAAGGCTAAGGAAAACATACAAAAACAAAGGATAAAAAGTCAAAAAGAGATTGATAGGAGAAGTCTTCAGGCAGAAAAGTATCATGATTTATTGGACTGGAAGACTAATGAAGAATAGAAATGAACCCTGGGAAGAATGACAAGCATATATAAGGTTATCCACTGTCATTTTTCTGGAACAGTGTGTCTGTGTCCATGTGGTTAACAGCACATCACCTCGATGCATTCTGGCTTTTACAGAAGGCCTGTAAAGCACCAATTTCCGTGGAATATAGAGTGAGCAAAATAAACATAGTTACTTCTGCCACTTATTTTGTGTATATGTGTGACTTATAATCAAATAATCCTATGTGAATTAGAAGCAAATAATCATAAAGAAATTGTTAGAGATGTTTAAGTACCATGAAAGAACTGCACAGAGTGTTAAAAGAGTATATGATGGTAGGATGAAGAGAACTGATCAGTTGGAAAGATGGAAACAGGTTCTGATGAAATCTGAAGAATAAGTGAATATTAACTGCAGAGAAGAGAAAGAAGTAGTTCTGTGTCAAAAGAAAATTATATGAGAAGGACATTAGAATTCCTTTTTCATGTGTTCAGTTGTACAATATAATCAGTATATTATAAAGATGTATTAATATTGAATTTTCATGTCAGCAAGTGAGGAACTAGGGAAACAGTGGCCCTTCAGAAAGAGGACTATGTAGAGAACTAGGAAAATTATAAGGAAAAGAAATACCATCTAAGTCTGGAAAATTATGAACATTTTATGGGGTTTTTGGGGGGTGGGGGGTCCCAGGGATGGAATTCAGGGGCAATCGACCATCAAGCCATAACCCCAGTCCTATTTTGTATTTTGTTAAGAGATAGGGTCTCACTGAGTTGCTTAGCACTTTACTCTTGCTGAGGCTGACTTTGAAGTCTCTATCCTCCTGCCCCAGCCTCCTAAGCCGCTGGGATTACTTATCCCACCGTGCCCAGCATGTTTGTTTATTTTTTAATGTGAATTTGAGGTATAAAAACATAAAAGCTGAATGCTTTCCTCCTCAATCCTGGAACACTAGAATAATGTTAAAGAAAAGACACTTAAATGGTAACAACAGAATTGAAATCATCATAACAAAAATAGTTGTCATTATAACAATTTTTACATACATAATATCATTATTGTCATCATAACAATTTTTACATACATAATGTCTCTGATTTTTTGAACAATGCTTATTCCTTTTTTATTAATTAACTAATTTATCTTATAGGTATGACAGCAGAATGCATTTTGATTAATTGTACACAAATGTAGCACAACTTTTCACTTCTTTGGTTGTACACAATGTAGTCGTACCATATGTGCAGTCATACCTAAGGTAATGATGTCCGTCTCATTCTACCATCTTTCCTGCCCGCATGCACCCTCCCTCCCCTTTGCCCAATCAAATTTCCTCTATTTTTCCCATTCCCCTACCCCCATTATGGATCAGCATCCACTTATCAGAGAGAACATTCAGTCTTTGTTTTTGGGGATTGGCTTACTTTGCTTAGCATGATATTCTCCAACTAAACTCCAGGATATATAAGCAACCCAATCAATAAATGGGATAAGGAGCTGAACAGACACTTCTCAGAGGAAGATATACATTCAGTTAACAAATATATGAAAAAATGTTCAACATCTCTAGTAATTACAGAAATGCAAATCAAAACTACTCTAAGATTTCATCTCACACCAGTCAGAATGGCAGTTATTAAGAATACAGACAACAATAAATATTGGCGAGGATGTGGGGGAAAAGGCACAGTCATACATTGCTGGTGAGACTGCAAATTGGTGCAGCCAATATGGAAAGCAGTATGGAATAGAACCACCCTTTGACCCAGCTATCCCACTTCTCAGTCTATAGCCAAAGGACTTAAAATCAGCATACTATATAGTAACACAGCCAAATCAATATTTAGAGCCACTCAATTCACAATAGCGAAACTGTAGAACCAACCTAGATCCCTTCAATAGATGAATGGATAAAGAAACTGTGGTATATATAAACAAGGGAACATTACTCAACATTAAAAGAGAATAAAATTATGACATTTGCAGGTCTCTTTTTGTAATAATTTATTATTCCCATTTTACAGATTTAGAAACTCACGATCAGTGAGGTAACTTGCCAAAAGTTACAAGCTAGTAGGTGAGATCAAGAGTTCATACTATAAACACATTGCCCAATATGATAGCCATTAATCACATGTGTCTATTTAAACTTACATTATTCAAGATTAAATAAAATTAAAAACTCGGTTTCTCAGTTACACCCACTACATTTCAGGTGTTCAACAGCACATGTGACTGGGGGCTATCAGTGAACAGAGCAGATATGGAATACTTCAATTACTGCAAAAAGTTCTCTTGGACATTAATACTCAGTTACTGTTATGCTATTATATTGTCTCCGTGTTTTGTCACTTGTGATGCTAATTGATATGTGAACAGCTAATCAACCAGGTCAAGCTTTGCCCCCTAACACCTCTACTCCACTGCTCACCCGGCGACAGGTCCAGAGAAAGCTGAGCAGGTCCCCCTGGGCCACATCCTCCAACACCATATAGAGTGGCAGTCTATCTGTGCAGCAGCCTTCCAGTTGTACTAGGTTCTTGTGTTTCCCCAGGTACTGATAGAACTGGATTCGTCCTACAAAATCCTGCACCTCATGGAGCCCAGCAGGTTCTGCAGAGGATAGAAGAGCCAGGGCAGTGAGCAGTGAGCTCAACCAATTAAGAGGAAACAAGGAGCAAAAAACCATTTCAGATGGTAACTCTCAGTTACCATCTGAGGAGTAAGTGCAGACAAAAAGTAAATAGAGGACCAATTAGAAGTTAACGATGCTCATTGTCACTGACACTTTATCAAAGATATCATAGACTATCATCTTAAAAATGAATAGGCTTTCCTCTTCCTAAATAGGCAAATTTCTTCTAATTGAAACACTGGAACTATGTGGGCATTTTGATTAATATTCTTGTTTATCTTATCCTTTTTCTATTTTGTGTATTCACTATTACCAGTCCACATCATGAGTATCAGCAAAAGAGAAAGAGAGAGGTAGGGGGATGCTGGGAGCCATTAGCCAAGTAAGTATGACAATTTCCTTGCCAGCGTACCCCATGTTGCAGTGACATTGAATGTACTTAACCTTGCTCAAGGACCAAGGCAGATTAGGGTGTTCCCGGTTTTAAGATAATCTTGTTTAGGGCGTTCCCAGTTTAGGTTCCAGGTTTAAGGTTTAAGATTATTCCTGCTGGGAATAGGGCGTATCCTGCTGCCTGAGTTCCCCTTGAGTTCTCACGGGATTCAGACAGTATATTTTGGAGATAGAAGCCCAGTGGAGGTGGATTTGGGCAGAGAACGTGGATTTGGGAAGAGAACGTGGATTTCCCCAGAACGTGATTGTAGACGGCTGGTGTGAGTTCGGGAATAAAGAGTTGCTGTTTGAATCTACAAGCTGTGTGGTGGCTCGTGATTGTGTGCCCAGCCAGACTGCGGCATTTGTGCCCAGCCAGACTGTGGCAGGGGGAGAAATGCAGTATCAGGAAGGAGTATCAAACAGGAAAGAGAAATTTAAAAGCAACCTCAGAATCCTAGTCCAAGAAACATCTAATATGAAACAGTCTGTTTCAACAGCCTTAGTAGGTAAAGATGAGTTAGGGATATAAGGACCCTGAAGAATATCATTTTTGTCTCAAGCTTCCACTCTTAATTGCCTTCTTCTATACAGAGTTGTGATCACAATATTTGTTGAAAAATATCTTAATGTTTGCAAAACTGTTGACATTTATTGTTAGGAGTTCACAAGTGAAAAGTAAAAAGGGAAGGGAAGTCTAACACTTCTCCTTTTACCTTTTAAAGTCTTGAGGACAATATTTTTGGGCTTAGCAGGGTCCCCAGTACACATCTTGGCTCGATAGATGATCCCATAACTGCCATTATAGATCTGCTCCAAAACTTCTGAGAATTGCTCTCGGGGCACCTGCAGCTTAGACAAGGCAGATGTGGAAGCCCTCAGAAAACTTTCCACTGATGTCTCCTTAAGTGGCACCAGCACTTTTCCTCCACGTCCTGTTGCTTCCCAACTTGGACTCCTAGATGGAGGCCCAGCAGCACTGCCTAGAATAAAGAGATGATATCAATCACCAGTTTCTTGTTCTGAGAACTCCAGAAAAGCCTAGAATGAACCAGCCAGGAAGTTCTTTTAGCAGTTTTACCTCTGGTCAATGGAGGGATATCTTCTGATGCTGCTCTATTAATTGGTATCAACATCAAATTTGTAGAACCTTTATAATAATCCCCTTTACTTCTGGGAAAACTCAGGATGGACCCTTGTAAAGTAGTGACGACATTTTCTTTCTGTCTTTCTCAGGATTATAATTCTATATTCTCCATGAGTATGATATGGAGACAAGGGAGTTCCTGAACAGGTACAAAACCACAGATACTTAAGGGCAGTGGTAATTGCCAGTGGAGACTACCATTTAAGTCAGTCATGTGGCTTCCAAATTTGGAATAAACGTATAGATAACTTCTCTACCATAGCTGTGGCTTATCCTTTCTTCCTCAAGTTATCTTAAAAGTCAAATTATTCCATATTTCATTGAGTATCGGTTTAAGTCTTCTGATACGTTCTGCCTTCCTTAGCTGGCATGAACTTTCCTCCGTTTGGAAAAGAAAGGTTCATTCTTCTCATTAAATTTACCATCACTCATTAACCCATCCCTTTATTCAACAAATATCACTAGCTATATACCAGATACTTTTCTAGGTGTTGGGAATAGGTGAAGTCATAATTCAACAAGGTTACCTTCTTGTGATCAGGCAGAAAATAATGAGTCAATAAGTGTTGTAGAGGAAATGATGAAAGAAGAAACATCAGTGATGCTACTTTATCCACAAAGATTTCATTTCAAGGAAGGCCTTTCTGATACAATGACATTGGAGAAAGGTATGGAAGCAATTAGGTGGCAAACCACATTGATGTCAGAAAAAGTACTGTAGGCAAAGGGAACAAGATGTTCAAAGGCACTGAGAAAGGAACATACTTAAAGTATTTGAGAAATAGCAAGGAATCTGGTGCAGCAGAGCCAAGTAGGATTGTTGGAGAGTTGTAGGACATAAGGCAAGAGAGGTTCAGATCATATAAGACCATGGGAAGAGCTTTGACTTTTTTCATTCTGAGCAAGATAGAAAGTTATTGAGGTATTTCAAGGAGAGAATTAACAGACTGATGAATGCCTTAAAAGAATCATCTGGCTCCTCTGAGGAGACACAGGCAGGGCCAAAAGTAGGTAAAGCTGTTAGGAGCATATTACTACAGTCTATGAGAGATGAGATTGGCTTAGGTTAATTTTAAAGATAGAGTTGAGTGTATCTGCTTATGGGTTGAATATGTGAAAAAAAGAGGGAGTCACAGATACCTACAAGGTTTTAGATGAAAACATAGAAGGCTGGGCTTGCGATTTACTTAGATAGGGAGGATGGTTTTAAGGGCACACTTGTAAGGTAATTTCAAGACCTTGGTTTTGCATGGATGTATAACCGATGTGATTCTGCAATCTGTATACGGGGTAAAAATGGGAGTTCATAACCCACTTGAATCAAATGTATGAAATATGATATGTCAAGAGCTATGTAATGGGGGCTGGGATGTGGCTCAAGAGGTAACACGCTCGCCTGGCATGCGTGCGGCCCGGGTTCAATCCTCAGCACCACATACAAACAAAGGTGTTGTGTCCGCCAAAAACTAATAAATAAGTATTAAAAAAATTTTTAAAAAAGAGCTATGTAATGTTTTGAACAACTAATAATTTAAAAAAAAGACCTTGGTTTTGAACATATTACCTACAAGATGTGTATTATATTGAAACTTCAAAGTAGTTGATTTAATGTAAGAATCCGGAGTTCCAGGAACCATAATCAGAATAGAAAAAGCATTTGAATCTATAAGAATGAAAATGATATCATATAATCATAAAAGTGATTTTATTTTTTTTTCTAAAAAAGTGCTTCAAGAAAGAAGAAGCATGAATGTGTTTCAAATGCTTTTGTCAGGTTAAGCAAGATGGACTTGTCAAAATAGGTACCATTAATGAGCTTGGAAAGAGTTGTTTTGGAGGATGATAGCTATAACAAAAAGTCTTATTTGGGGGTTCAAAAGAGAATGTGATAAGCAGAAGGGGTGAGTTTATTCAATTCCTTTGAGATGTTTTCAATAAAAGTGAACTTATGAAACAATTGACATAAAATTTGGACGAAGACTGAGGATCAGCCACTATAGAGTTTTATATCACTGTCAGGATTTTTTCTCCTTCTCTATACTCTTAGCTTCCTCCATGAGCTGATTCTCTTTCATTGCATGTTCAATGATACTCCACAAGAACCTCTAAACCTTTCCTACCCAGTACTTCAAAGACTAGAATGAAGGCTACCCTTTCTCATCATATATTTTTGAGGAATAGAGTAGGGATAGAATGGATCATAGAGTAGAAAGTTATCCTTCAAGGATGTTAATAAAGCCCTGAGCTTTATCTTTTAGACCTTCTTCCTTAATCCTTAGACATTCATATAGTCAAAATTTGCTAGTTCAGTTGGACAAAGAGGACAGAAAGAGGTCTCATGAGGCCTCTATTTCCATTTTTCTTTTAGTCAACAGGCACATGTGGAGTTCTAACTCCTGACCTCCTAGAGAAGAGGTCTCTCCTCTCCACTCCAAAGAGGCAGCCCTTGTCTCTGCCATTAAAGGTACCTAAACTCTTGGACTTATATCTGTTGAGATATGGCTTATCTTTTTCCTAATATTCATCTTTCTTGAGCCCACAGTTTGAGTTTTACCTCGAATTCCAGGACGCTGCTGTTGGGATCTTTGTTCTCTTATAAAAAGCCACAAGATGACTGCAAGAAGGATGAGGAAGAGGCCAACCAGGAGAGTCGGGACAATGATCACTTCATACTGCTGCTCCTGGACCACTGGGCAGGCAATTAATAGCAAGGAAAGAAGATTAAGAAGCCTGACCTGATGCCACACAACTTTCCCTACCCATCAGCCTCAGCCCATCATAGGTGAAATTGTCAGCTCTTCTGCCTTTCACTGCAGTTACATTTAATGTATATAATAATGGGAGCAACTCTAATCAGAAGCCCCAGTGTTCCTGTTTCTTAACACATCAACTGTATACTATGCCTTTTCTGTCATTTTCCTACTGAGAGAGAGGATGCCACATCTGAATCTCTGATCAGCACTCTCCCTGCCCCACCCTGCAAAGATAATGAATGACCTCTGACCACATTCTTTTAATACCACTTTATTCATTCTTACTAGAAATCAAAGCATCTTCCTTCTAGAATCTATACAGACTTTAGTCTCCATAATCCTAAATTCAAAGGTCAGGCATTTGTGGCATCTGAACTTACCACACAATTTGTCGCTGAGACTGCATTCCAGTAGCATCCGTGCCATACCCCTCTTCTCACCCATTGCTACAGGGCTGCTGCTTCTCTGCTAGGCCCACAGAAAATGCCCAGAACTCAACCACAACCTTGAGTAATTTCCAAGGATTGAATGATTCTGGGGGCAAAAATGAAGCACACATAGGAATTTTAAATGTCTCTATGGATCACTAGTTTAGTAAATAGCACCTCACTGAGCCATCCATTTATATCAGTCCATCTGCCTGATATTCAAATTGGAAGAATCCTTCATTTCCCCCTCTGGCATTTTCCCTGTTATACAGTTTTACCGCCCTGATCTAATCTTTCCTTTCATCCTATTGTTACCAAAATTATTTTAAAGGCCCCCTTCCTAACTCTTTTGCTACTATGCTCAAGTACAAGTTCATAGCACCTGTCCTGAACAACTGTTTCTCATGGGTTATGTAAGCAAAATAAACATCCCCTATAGTCTTTAAGTATGTCATGTTTTCTTTAACTCTGCATCACATTTTTTTTTTCAGCATAAGAGTAAGATTTATTCAAGTGCAAATAGAAATATCTCCCACAAGGTGAGAGAGACTCCCAATTAGGGGTTGCTCTTTGCATCACATTTTTAAAACAACCATTTCATTTTTATACAAAATTAATTCAGATAGTGAATAAACAGGGTCAGATGTCAAGAGAGATGAGTTATGTGTTTGCTTTCTTTCTCTGAAACATCTGCACCCTCACAATCAATGAACAGATGACATATATCAATAAAAACTATTTAATCCCTCCGCTCTCAGGGCTTCAATGAGACTCCTCTGCTCATATCACAGACCTGCTCACATTCTGACCAGGACATATATTAAAGTGTCAGCACCAAGCCATCTTCTCTTTCTCCCATTCTCTGTAAATAAAAAGGAAATATATTCAAATGTTTCAAAAATAATAATATAAAATGTTAGAGCTATATTATGCTGCACTTTACTATTGATACTAATGATCACAGTGTTACTTATTGAGACAGAGTCTCTCTGTACCTGAAAGATATCTCCCAGCTCCCACCTCACAATTTTTTTTTTACTCTTCCTGGAGCTCTATGAGCTTATAGGCAGAGATCATAGGTTAAAAAACACCCTAACAATTCAGGAGACAGGTGTTTGGTTGACAAAAAAATTCCAGGTAAACAGGGGTAGCCAAAAGGTAGAAAATTGCACACACAGAGAAATTATTATCTGGGTTTGTACACAGCAAGGGATTTAAGAAGTCAATGAATAGTTGGACAACAACGTCCACCTCCTCTAGTTTATAAGCCTCAAAGGTGAGAGAAAGATAATTGAGAGTGTCCATGGTTAACAAGACCCTATAGAAGGAAAGGAACTAGCAAAAGCACAGAGATCAGTGCCCGGAGAGGAAAGAGCAAAGGAGAGAAATTCTTAAAATTAAACATTAGCTCAGTAGCGTGAATTCAGAAGCTAATTGAAAATTTCTCACTGCTATTGTCATTTTTATTTTATTTTCCTCTTGCTTCATTTTCAGTATATAATTAGATGTGATTATTTTCATTCAGGGAGCAGCCAGTTTAACAAGTTTGGCTCTGGGGGGAATAGGTGCTCTATGCATAATCTTTCTATCATGGTACAAATGGAAAAAAAAGGGTCAGTCAGAAGCCAACTCAGACTTGTGAGCTCTGCCCAGAAACCAAACTACACACCCACTAATACACACTGAAGGAAGTAATCTGAAGCCCTGATTGCACAGTACCCGCTCTCTGTACTGCTCATGGTTATACCCCACAAATATAAGTGCATGGCCAAATACACCTTCTGCCAGTTACTCAAACCTATGGTTTATTTCCTGGATAGCCCAATTAATACAGAGCACCCACCTTTAGGTACAGTATGGCCTTCTATCGCACTTCCTGAACCAGTTTCTTACCATCATCTTTATTTGTTATAGGGAGTTTAAAGAGGCTAGGCTTATGAACACCTGGCAGCCCAATGAAAATGGGTGCTAGAGCAAGGAGATAAATATACAGGGTAATGCGGCTGGGGATGTGGCTCAAGCGGTAGGGCACTCGCCTGGCATGCATGCGGCCTGGGTTCGATCCTCAGCACCACATACAAAGATGTTGTGTCCGCCAAAAATTAAAAAATAAATATTAAAAAATATATATATACAGGGTAATGAGGTCCACTCAATGACGTTGCTTTCCAGATATTTGTATAATAAGTTCTTCCCAATGCTTACAGCTTAGGTAAAGGGATGTAGAATATACCAAATAAGTCCAGAATTTTTAAGATAAGCACACCCGACATACCCACTTCTCCACAAAAGCCTACATGGGAAAGCTCACCACACAGAACCCACCAAGCTCATAGATCAGAAGATGCTTACATTCACCACTACTTTTCTCTCAGTAATTCATTTCAGGTACCACATGACATTGTCTACACATTCAATGTCAAGCTGAGAAAAGGTATGCCTTTATGCCAAAATCCTCTAGGGTGACTTTTCCTGTAGGCCAGAATCCAGCCTATCTAAGGCTAGAGATGTAATTCAGTGGTAGAGCACTTTCTTAGCATGTGTAATTCCCTGGGTTCAACCCCTCAGCACTGGGAAGAAAAGGAGGGAGAGAAACAGGGAAGGAGTATGAGGAAAAAGGGAGGGAAGAAGAAAGGGAAAAGAAGAAAGAGAACAGGGAATCTAGTCAATCTAACTATTAAAAGAAAAGAATGCTATGCTCCTGGCCAACACTGCTCTACAATCTGACAACTAATACTCTGTCCCCTTCAATGATATCTAGACAGGTTTCCCACTATGCTAAAAAAAAAAAAAAAGTATGTGTGTTGGCTATTACTTCTTAGCTAAACATAAGTATGTGAAGCATTATCTCACAGTTAGTATCATGTATAATAAAATTCAGAGTATTGGAATTAAGGGTCTAGGTAAGCTGTGAAATAGTTTATTCTGATAACTCAAATATGTCTATATATAGCTTGCCACTAGTTTACACATACCTATATCTACAGTGCCAAATCTCTTCAGGCAGGGTTCTAAATAAAACACTATTATTGCCCCACTTGTAGATATTATTCCTTAGCTTTTTCATCTCAATTGTTTCAGGTTTCTCTTAGCATTTTCTCTTAGGTTTATCTCCCCTCTTAAATTGAGAATCCAGAGGAGGAAATAACACAATGAGGAAGGAGATACCAAAAGGAAGAGAATGAGAGTGAAATGGGGAATGAAAGCCACCTGAAATATTTGCAGTTGTCTGAAGTCCACAGAAGTTAATGATTATAATTAGAATGGAACTAAATATTAATATTAACTCTCCAGACTTTCATACATATTCACAATACATGACACACTGCATTTCTGGGCCTGTTTTAACACACACAAAGATAGTTCTATTTGCAACAGTAAAACAACTTTTATTACATACATTTCTGTTCAGTTAGTACAATATCATTTCCCAGACACAATCAACAATTAACCTGTGAGTTTCCAGATGAAACTTATATTCCCCAAATACATCTGCATATCGCATTTTAAAAAATCAAATCCATTCTCCTGAACTCTGTAGTGAAAAATTCCCCAACTGACCTCAGAATGACATCTGGTCCTGTTCCAGGTGACTCAAACTGTTTTGCCTGCCTCACCCAAGTCTCACCACCTGCTTCTCCACTCAAGGGGATCTGCCAACCATGTTCTCTTTAGACAGACAAGAGATCTACACTCCTAGGTGGATGCCACGCTGGGTCCAGGGAGATATTGTAAGGGTAAAAGAAATTGAAGTTAAAGCGTAAAAGTTAAAGGGTAAAAGACCGGGTGTTGTAAAGTTTCTAAGCTGCAAGGTCTGAGTTAAATTTCTGTAGCTGTTAAGACAATGCTTGGAACTGCCCAGTAATAAGGGCTCTGTGTGGTCGCACATAGGCATTGCAGGGCCTGGACCAATCAGTTTATTTTTTTTTTTATTTTTTTTTTAAAGCATAGAGTAGTTTTGGAGCTCAAATCATTTTATTTTATTTATTTATTTTTTAAAGAGAGAGAGAATTTTTAATATTTATTTTTTAGTTTTTGGCGGACACAACATCTTTGTTTGTATGTGGTGCTGAGGTTCGAACTCGGGCCGCACGCATGCCAGGCGAGCGCGCTACCGCTTGAGCCACATCCCCAGCCCAAGGACCAATCAGTTTAAATGTAACCCCCCTCCTTAGGAATGACCTATCACTCCAGCCTGACCTGTTCCCGCCAATGAATGAACCAATCATGTTTAGGAGTTGTTATTCAATTTTCCCGCGCCTAATGATGATTTGTTCTGATGTATACAAAGCCCTCCGCCCTCCCCAAAAAGTGTACTTAAGCAGTGCTCAGCCCCTGCTCCGGGCTCTGGGCTGCTTTCCCTTCTTGAGTGGGCACGGAGCCCCAGCATGCTGGTTCAATAAATCCCCCTTTTGCCAATTGCACGAGTGGTCACTTGGTGGTCTCTTTCTCCGACATTTCGCGGGATCCTTACAATATTAATGGTTATAGGCTGTGGGGCAGAGCCCTGCAGGCTAACAATAGGGAGAGTAAACCATGGAGATGACAGCCCTCTGTCAATCTTCTTGCATAGCCACTCAACCTGTTCTTCTCCTCCCTATTTCATCCTTACCCATGAGCCACCTAGCATTATTTGCTAACTTGGAAGTGAGATTGAGAAGAACTCAGATCTAGAGCATTCCAGAATTACTTATCTACAACATCCTGTAAAACAAGTTGCCCTTCTGCTGTTTTCAGATCTTATATGCATATATTGAGCATTTGCACTGTGCTAGGTATTATGTTGGAAAATATCATACATAGGATGAAAGGTAGAAGCCAAGGGATATATGATTTCTATATGATTAAATTATAGATCAGCCAGTGAGAAAAATTAATGGGCAAATAAATGGAAGAGCAAGCATACTCTTGCTTGGTCTAGGTCTTTTATTTACAATCCCAATGTTCCTTAAACTATTATACATATGTATTTGTCATTCAAATTAACAAAACCAAAAATGTCAAGAAGGAATTACATCAGAATCCATAAGAATCGTGAAAACCAAATTTTAGCAACAAACACATCATAATTTAGAAAAAAAAACACATGAATAAAATCTGTATGTATATTCTTTAAAGTTCTTACAGGACACAGATGATGTCTGCATATCTATCTTCAAAGCATATTTTTTTTAAAAAAAAAAGTAGAATCAAAATTCTTTCAGTACTCACCAAAATATGGAACCTTGGATTGTTTTCTCCATTCATTTTTCCTGGGTCTGACCCTCAATCCTGTTTCTATCTTCTGCTTTTTTTAATGAAAAGACCCAATTCCCAAGATTAGCACTCTTTCACTATGAGCAAAAAAAGTCAGGAATGGGCATCAAATCCCAAGGGACAGAACACTGGCCAAGGAATTGGGATCCCTGGCTGGATTCCTCAGTACCCTGGGCTCCAACTTTCTACTAAAACAAGCCTGTGAAGGGACAAAGAGTGAATGGAATGGTCACTGAACTGGTGATCCTGAGAAGCAAATTTGTATAGATAAGGTGTATTATGCCTGAGGTGTCTTCCAGTGTAAAAGAGGTGGAGAGAAGGTTACCTTATCCTCCAGCTCTGTGCAGGCCTTGAAAGATGGTGATTGCTTCTGACCTTTACCCTCCCCCACCTTCCTAGAGATCAAGGGCTTGAAATGAACTTTGAAACCTAAGAGAATGGGTTCAGCGATGGTGCCTAAGATTCCTAACCCTGTTTAAATTAAGGTCTTTTGACAATAAGGCTGAGGGTTATCAGCAGTTCTTGCTTCTTCTTTTCTTTTGTCTACAGGAATTCCTGAACCCCACGTGATATACAGACGAGATAAGGAAAGCTAATTTGTGTCCT